CTGAAACAACCGGCCCGTTACCCAACCTCATCAAACGAAAACCCTAATCGCAAGTGCCTGCGCGGCTCCCAAAGAACAAAAAAAACAATAACAACCATGGTTGCTGCCAAGCGAGGAAAAAAACGCTAGAGAATGACACAGCGCTTACAAACACTCCCCCATTGTCCGTCATCCCCTGTGAATGTGCCTGAGACAACTACGCGCCATGGGCTTCCTACTACTACTGCTAGTAAAATAAAACAGAAGCGGTCGGCGGAGAGCGGATGGGTGCGTAGGCGCCAAGCAGGTACCAATATACTTAGAGTTCGGCACTTTTTTATTACTCTTGCCCTCGCAACTCGTGCGAAGTGTGAAATGTAACGTCGAGGGGGAAAGTAAAGAAGAGCAGTATGGGTATACTATGTTTCAAAGGTTGACAGCGAATCACACGGTAAGTATTTTTTTTGCCCCTCTCTCTCTCTCTCTGTGTGTGTGTGTGTGTGGTTCCCGATAGAGAAAATCTTTTCAACGTGGTGATACGCAAGCGTACCGTAGCAGAATCGGGATTGTGTTGTTTGGTTTTCGCACCGATTGGCGGGTTAGGCAGGCTGCAGTTGCAGGCTTGCTGCTTGTCCTGTCAGATACCGGACATGGGCGGGCGAGGGGGGCGGCTCCGCCTGGGTGCAGGAGAGGGAAGAAGGTGCAGGTGCAGGCGAGGAGGGGGGGAGGGGTGGGCTGCGCAAGTCAAGCTAGAAGATGGTTAGCGTGGCGATCGCTGCAGGGGTTGGTGGGCAAGATGTGTGAGTGGAAGAAGAAGGGGGAGGGGATGGGAACGCAGGCGATGTGGACATGGGTTAATGGACTTGGTTTGATTTACTCTAGAGATTTGTAAAATAGCTAATATTCGATACGAGGATATAGACAAGGTGGAAAAAACGCCGAATTGGGATATCGGCCGCTCTGGGAAAAAAAGAGGAATCGTAACAAACGTGATGACGGGGATAACATTGAGTAGCTAAACCATTAGCCCGTTTCCTCGGGCAACCCCAGCGAAAGGTTTCCCGACCACATGTTGCTTGTTTTGTGTTTGTCTTCGTGACCTGATCCACAGGATATAAACAAAAAGGTCTTAAAAGGAGTGTGAGAGAAAATATTGGAGCCATATCAGATGGGGGTATGATAGTGGTTTGAAAAAACAATAAAGGAAACTAATGTGTACAGCGAAGTATAGAGGTGCATGTGTGATAATCCTCTTTGTTGCGCATCCGGACGTTGAATTTCCCCTTCCAAATAAACATGAGACAAGATTTCAACGATCAAGTTGTAGACGCTTGCAAAAGGAAAAGACATGGTATTGCCGAGTTGGGGGGCAAGATCAGACATGGCGTGACAAGTTGCTTTACCACGAGAAAGACTCCTCGCGGAAGTCGACGTTCCACTGGGTCTCGCGGTTGCGGACCGCGCGGCGGAGCTCATCAGCGAGACCACCAGTACCGCATGTGGTGACACAGGCAGCACCGATACCCTCTTGCATCTCCTGGTCGACCAAGGCTTGGACGTTGGGCCGACCGGGGAACATCTGAACACTTGAAGAGGGCGAGTGGATCTCCTTGGTGCTGCGGGGGCGGGTGACGAAGAGCAGAATCTTGAGGATCTCGCGACGACGTGGCATGGAAAGGATCTGTGTCATCCATGTACGGATCCACTCCAAGTGCTCAGGCGACTGGATGATCCATACAAGTGTGAGGCGACGAGTAGCAACAGTGCCGTTTGCATAACCGGCAACGATATCGCGCACGTGGGGAACCTGGTGCGTGATACCGATACCAGCAGCCCAAAGCATAACAGTGCCATAGGAGCTAAGGTCCTCACCACCTATTAGGGTAACCGTTAGCGTAGTTCGGCGGTATTGGTTTAATATGCGCAAATTGCAAAGACTTTATAGAAACAGGATTCTAGACTTACCATAGGGACCCTCGACATATGCCGAGCAGGAGAATCGGCCGGCAGCGGAGAGATCGGCCTTTTTGAACAGCTTGTCGGTAAAACCTGTTCGGCGGCGGATGATGAAAGACATGCTGGTCTTGTGGTGCTCGAGGATATCCTGGCGGTTCATGGGGAGACCCTTTTCATCACCAGAGGAAGAAGCAATGCTGAGGTCCTCCTCCTCCTCGCTCCACGCGATGGAGAAGGGGTGGTTGGTCCAAAGACCGACAGAAGGGATGTACAGGTAAGCATGCTGGCCAGGGCGGAAGTTCCAGGGGCGTGCCATGCGGACAGTGACACGGAGGGCATCTCCTGGAAGGACTTCAACATCGCAGCCAGTGCCGCCGTTTCCAACGTTGCGCATGATAATACGGACAAATCGCCAGGTACGCTCCATAGCCCAGAGAGCAGCGACTGCGTAAAGCATGCGCTGCTGCTCGCGGTCCTTAAGGTGGACCCATACGGCGCCGAGCGCGAGCGCAGCACCGACAATGTGGCCGTGCAGGAAAACCTCATAGAAGGAGTGGCGGATGGGCGAGGGCGACTGGATCAAAAGGAACACAAATGCGACAGTTCCCTGTACGTGTTAGGAGATGGTGGAGGAAAAATATCTCACGTGAGACTTACAATAAAACCGCTCATGATGAATTCACTCTTGGTGATTGAAGCTTGAACAGCGACCCAGCCCTCTGCATCTTGGTTAGTACGGATTTGTGTATGATTGGCATGATTTTGAACTTACTGCTGTGAACCTTGTTGGCCATCCAGCAGACAGTGTGGGCAATTGCCTCGAGGACAACGATTCGCCCAAACCAGCGGTGGACCAAGTTCATGGTATCGAAAGAGATGCCAGTGAGCTTGATGATGGGGTTGTTGCGACCAGCAAGTAGGAACAATGGGATCATGTTGATGACGGCCATGATACCAGAGCGGCTAAGGAGCTCACCGGCACCCGAGGCGAAGCTGCTGTAGTCAATTCTCCACACGCAGAAGCCAATGTTGACAGCAAAGTAGCCGACGAGGAAAAAGGTCTGCAGGCGGCTGGGCAGTGTTCCCACGCCGATGGCAGACGAGAGCTTGAACTCGCGGTGGTGACGGGTGCGGAAGAGAGGAGCATCGAGACAGTGCTTCTTGAATGCGGCATAAGTGCGGTTGGGAATGGCAAAGTAGCGCTGAGTGTCGTTGTTCAGGCATGTGACGGTTCGGATGTAGCGCACAAAGTAGAGAATGACTTGGTAGAGGAAGAAGACGACAACAATGATCCACCAGATGTATCCAAGGTAGTGCTGTACGTCAACGTTCTCGCGGCCAGCAGTGGGATCTTCTTCTCCATGGCCAGCGCGCTTAGCGAGGCCCCGGGCAGCTTCCATCAGAGACATGGCTGGAAGGAGGGAGCAACTGTCGAGAGTAGGGCCAAGATGAGAGTAGGATCAGTCGCTGTGGCAGGCGGGGATGACGTTATGTAGGGAGTGTACTCTGTCTTGGCCAGCAAACGACAGATTGGTGGAGTGGAGCAAGGTCTGGAAGAAGCAGTTGATATGGCGTGCGTGGTGACCCAGCCTTAACGGATAGTACTTTAGGCTTGGGGTGACTGGGTAGGGGGGGTTATGCAGGATTCACGCGAGTTGGCGCAGCGTGGACAATGGCCGAATCGGACAGGTTAATATGCAGTAGGCCAAGAGGTCGATTGAGCGGAATCCAGATGCCAGGGAGGGTAAGCTGCACTGATAGTCGACTGGGTATGGGTAAATCGCCAACCAGGGGATGAGAGAGAAAGAGCCGGCGGGGGAAGCGAGACCAAGCACCTGGGTTGGACGAAGAAAAGCAGAGCCAGGCGAACCACGGCAATAAAAGAGCGACTATGAGGGGGGGGTGGGTGAAGGAGCGAGTGAGGAGAGGGAAAGAAGAGAAGGCGTTGTGGGCGCGAGGGCCGCGTGGTTAATAGGAAAGGGAGCGTGGTGGGTTTGATTATTTGGTGGTGGCAGCCTCAGGATTGGAGGACAGGGCTGAGGCGGAGGGCAGGGATGGTGCCTGAAGGCGGCCGACTAGGGCCCCCGGATGCTGAAACGGAACGGAGTCGACGACGAGCGAACGCCACGCCACAGGCGACATGTGAGCTGCACGCTGACGACCCTGTTTCATCGCTTCCGAACTCTGCCTCTCCCTCTCCCTCTCCCTCTCGCTGTGCTCGCCCGTGTGCGCGTCATCGTGGTACACACGCCAACCGTCTGCCATGCCCGCCTTGGTGCGCTTCGCCTCTGCCTCTGCATCGCCCCAGGCACACCCGCACGTACGCTGCCGACGCACAGCGCCTGGGCGAACAATGCCCCGGCCTGTCACTCTCCTATGCCAGCCTTGGCCCACCTAGGACCACCCAGGACCACCCTTCGTCATCCATCTATCCACGACTCCTCCGTCTCCGCCTCCGTCTCTTTGCGGTATAACGGCCGTCGTACAGCGGCCTACTTGGCCACGCACTCCATCTACCCGTTCCCGCTTGTGCGACCAAGCCAGCGACCGCATCCTCCAAAATGCGCCGCCCGCAGTTGGGCCCCTTCCTTTCCCCCATACTCTGCAGTAGATCTAATTTGCCTTGAGCCTCAACCTCAATCTGCAAACTTCCACTCTTCCCTTTGTCACCACTTAGCACCCGGCCGCGCAGCCAGCCACCCGCATGTTTCCCTTGGACGGTTGCTAGGAACATGCATGAATGTCACTGCGTTGCCCCGGCCATGTCTGCCCCGAAACACGTCGATTCCAGTCGTGGCCGCTCATCGTGTCCTGCATAAATCGCCGTGTCGATTCTTCCGTCATGCGGAGAGACCCTCTGGTTGCTGTCAAAACCACAACCGCCGCTTGTTTAGTGTGTCGATTCAGATAAACGCCCTCTTGGATATGCCCTGTCCAGCCCCCCGCACAAACCGCATTCTATTTGCGCGACTCGCATGCGCTTGCCCTATGCCATCGTCGCGTCCTCCGCCTTTTGCAAAGCGAGTCGAGACTGCCAACGGAAATTTCCATGCTGCGTCCGAAGTGACTCCACTACCATCAGGTGCTGTCACGCCCCCAAGTACCATCAACCCCATTCACATGTGCGCACGGTCAAAAACGCCTATACTGTTTAATTTACCAAAGACTCAGTCACGAAGCGACTTCATCTACAAGGTGCTAGCCTCGGCCTACCTTAGGCTGTATGCCCATGTACTTACACATACATACTATACACATAGAGTACGTACATAGGTACATACTTACATCGACTTAGTGGCGGAGTCATGGGCCCCATTCGCATCGTCCGCTAGCAGAGTGAAGAAGGAGATGCCGGCTTGGGACTGGCAACTGCGATAAGGCCATGGTTCGGGAAACCTACTTCAATCGCGTCCTCAGTCTCGCGCAGTCAATGTCGATAGCGATGGCGATGGCGATGGAGCATCCTGACAGATGGTGTGGAAAGCGGGACATGCCCAAGGCACTTCCTGCTAGTCCTAGCCGCTCAGGCAGTACCGCACTCTAGGTTAAGACTGACTCACGACACACTCGAAGATGACAATGTTAGCATAACACCAGGAATCCCGTGAAACTGCTAGATTGCCGCTGTTTCACGCAAATGATGGCGTGGCCACCTTGGCCCCACGCTCTCGAAACTTCCTCAACCGTTCCTCTTGGAGCATGTCGTTTCAGAGACGGGCGCCTCTTGCTTTTCTTTTTGGTTTCGACATGCAGCCATTCTCCACCGATCGGTCCACTCGGTGGCTTGCAACATGCGACACAAACATGCGAGCGCTGACGTAGGCCCGGTGTTTGCAGAGTTGGTTGGTATCAAGCTAGAATCGCGTGACTCGGAGCGGGCGCCTCCCTCCCGCCGCCCTTTGGTGTTAACGCTACCCGTACCCGTACTCGAGTACCGTTATCCACAGCTCGTGTCAACACACACGTGCCCAGAAACGGTGCCGCTGGTGTCAATTCATGCCGCTCCCTATTCGGTGTCTAGACCGCAGCGTGCATTTGATCCACAATGCGCAATCTACTTTTTTATCTTCCTTGTCGCTCTCCATCTCGCTTAGCAGCCAGTAGCAATCACTGACGCCATGAGCACAAGACATTCCTTGGCGCCTGGCTGCAGCGTGGGTAGAGTGGGTAGATCGATGGCTGCCTGCAAATCTCAGGTAGGCGCCGCATCTGTCGTTCAGCTAGAAGCAAATCAAGGCTTGGCCTTGTTCAACCAGGTCTGTTCGGCCTCGGCGTTACTCGGATTTTCAAATACGGATGTTGACCAATGCAACAAGCATGCACCTCAATTGAGTTCTTCGTGTTCCAGAATGCTGTTTATAGCATTCACACAAAACAAGGACGGATCTGACTACGTGCCAAGTCGACGCGTATATAGACTCGCCATGGCAATAAATACGTAAGCATGAGTAACCACTTCCTTACCTAGTCCCAACCATACGGTAAGATGCTATAAACCCTCTCGGCCCTGTTACTAACAGCGAGTCCATGGCCGTGGGCCCGGCCTATTGCATCAGTGCGTAGTATGTCCGACGTGCAAGACACGTCGACCTGGGATTTTGACAGGCATTCCATTCCAGCGTCGGTCGGACTTGCGCGTCTATTTTCATCGGGGGGGCTGTGTCTATCCAAACACCGAGCTTTTGGATAGTCACGTGCGCGAGCCGGCTGTGCAATTGACATGCTGCCTTGCAACACGTGCGCAAAGAGACTTTGATGTCATAATCCTGTTCCCGAGTAGACGTCTAGCCACCACGTGGTTGTAACTTGTAAAGAAGGATGCAAACTATATCCTACGACTTGCTCTACTAGTGATAATTCCGCTGTACTGCAGAATGGTATAGACAAGACCGAGGTAACGTCTCGTATTGCGACAAAAGAGAGTAAGATAAAACAAGCTTCTGTCATGGCATATTTGAGAATGCGATACTTTCAAGCCAACTCTCCCGAGGGTAGTGTAAGTACGTGGTGCAGTGTGGTGTATGGGAAAGCGAATGGGGTTCTCGAGAGTAGCTAGCGCGGAGACAACGCGCTTAACGCCGACCACCGATGAGGTCAAACAAATAAACAATCATCACGACACGGACGACGCGCCCGTAACACAGCACAGCATATTCTACCGCCCACAGCTCTTCCGTGCCCATCTATTCCGTATGAATTAACCGATATACCTATTGCCATGTCAACGGACGACACCCTGCCATGGACAACTTCGCGATGCAATCGTTTACTGCGGCCGCTTTCCTCGAAACTCGCCAAACTGCGCAAAGAACTTGAACGACCGCGTCCTACGAATACAGAGTCACGAAATGTTTCCTCGGCATTTGCCACTAAAGGCTCCCCCCAGAAGACAACAAACTTTACACGCCCGGCCCACAAACCACGGGGGTTTGAGAAGGCTAGAGATCCAGATTGGAGGCCGGGCATGAAGCCGGGAGCAGCTAAGAAGACTACATATGGCGCACGCGGGAGAGGGAGACCAGCACTGCGGAGAGGCAGTCCAGATACCACCAGCAATGTCTCCCGACCGGGCGAGATTGCCTTTACGCCTTTGATTTCTAGAATGGGCGGGCAACTGAACAGCAGTCCACAGATGCCGATATCGCCGTTGCGAAAACTCCCCAAGAACCGAGGTCCCCTTTTAGTCCATCTAGCGCTCCCAGCAGCAGATGTACCTAGAGATGTCCACAAACTTGTTCAAGGCACTTTGGAGGCATACGCGAACCTACTCCAAGCCACCTCAACAGGAAATGAGTCGACACGGAAAGGCACAAGATCACTGATGGGCGCTTGTTTGAGAAAACTACCAGCCTACATCGAACTTGAGGAACATTTTGCGAAGCTGGACAGGCTCGAGGACGAAGTAGACGAAGAAGGTCGGGACATTGCCAACGAGATATATGAACAGCTCGAGACACACTTTGAACAAGCCCCTGGACTTGGCTGGCGCCACTTTCGACAGGTCGTCCGAACACATGCCACAACGCTGATATGCGATGCCATTGCCGACGAAATATTGAGCCTCAAGGACGCATTGATGCTCATTACGCACTGCTTAAACGCCTATGCATGGGAAGAGGCAGAACAACTATTACTGGCTTATGCGCCGCTTCTAGACCCCATCACTATGCCCATCAATACACGGGCCGACTTATTTGACGTGCAGCGGTCGCCTTTTTTACATGCAGTCAAGGCTTTTGTCTACCGCACCGGGCGCCATCGTCTGCTTTACGATGTTTTGGAGCACATGGTTGCTCTTGAACTCCTACCACTCGAATGGCTGGCAACCGATAGCATGCGCCCTGTCTGGGATCGACTGGTTCGAAGTGTTTCCGAGAATGATGCTCGCACACTGCCAAGTGTTTGCCGATTCTTTGAGACAGTTGCCTTCGCAAGCATGGGTCTGCCTGATTACCGGTTGCTGGAAGATGAAGTCACTGGGTCTGTTTCTAGGCGCTTTGTACCATCGTCACGATTGGAACTCCGGCAGGCACTTGACACCACGTTTTCTAGTCTCCTCACCGTGTTGTGCAGTATAACTTTGGTCAACAACTCCCGTAACGATGACGTGGGCCAGATGACTGCAAAGAGGGTTACTCGAGTTTTGGATGCAGTTGTCGTTGCTATTGCTACTCGGCAGGACATCAAGGATGAGCTCGACCTTCTTGGTGCGGATGCAAACGATGTCCAGGTCATGGCTCAGCGTGGCATTTGGATAACATTTGCATCATGTCTCCTGCATCTTGAAAGCTGCTTGAGCGATCCAACCGTGGTATCCCTCGATACTGTTGGCTCTATTGGTATTATCAATTGGATAGCCTCACAATATTCCTCAAGAGACATCAATTTCGCATCGATATTTGGTCCTCTACCATCCTTGGTCTCGTCGACTGCACGCGGGACCGGCCGTATCTGGCAGGACGATGGATTCGATCAATTACAGCGTTTCGTTACGGCGCTGATGTCCGTATCAGGTTGTCGACTGCCGCATAAGCTTTGGACTCTAAAGAGAATTGCATTAGAATCCGCACTGGAATTTGCCCACGGAACCGGCGACGCAGAGCACATGGCATTTGCACGCGAAGTTGAGAAGAAGATGCAAACACAGGGTCGCCTAATTATTATGCAATCACCAGCAAAGAATGCTTCCCCGGCAACCGGCGGTGGCTTTAGGTGGGAAGAAGGCATCGGTGAATGGGTCACCTGCACACCATTTGTGAAACATAATCCCAAGCCGCAGATTGGCAAACCCGTCCGAGCCCTCGAACTACTGCCGACGCCGGTGCAATCAGAAGAAGAGAAGGAGGATGTCTCTGAAGTCGAGGATGACCTCCCTAGTAGTATCCCCGCCACTCCAGCATGGGAAGCCACTACATTTGACTGCGCAGATGAGGATGATGCAGGGCCGCAATCGTCACCAATCAAGAAGAGACAACGCACTTCCACATCATTACTAGGAAAACGCGCTCGAGCGCCATCACCAAAGGTTGTTATACCGGTGAAGCGAACGCAAATGACACCTCCAGACACACCACCTGTCAGATTCTACGCCAATCTACCCGAAGAAAAGGGAAGCAGTTCGAGACGCTCCTGTCGCTTTCGACAACAAACCAACACACTGCCTTCACAATCCCGACCTAAACGCTCTAGAACATCCCTCGAAAGCGGTCTGCGCGACGTAAAGATACCAACCTACGCCGAACCAGCCCTTGATCTCGACCTCGACCTTTCAGGCAGCGCCAGCGATACAGACGCATCGAGTACATCACAGCAAGACTCGGAGACCGAGGTAGAGCAACCCAACACGCGATCTTCTTCACAAACTCGCCGTCGCTCAACGCGCCACATAGAGGCGAACACCTCCCCCGGCCGTGACGAGCTCGGTAAAACACCAGCCCGGCCTCAATCTCGCACATCGCTTCAAGCCAAGAATCAAGGAAAACCACTACCACACGCTAGCAGATCCAGCTCCCGGCGTACATCCAGTAGGACGCGACCCGTACTGCAGAAGAGCTACCACGACGACAGCGAAGACGAATTGAGCTTTTACTAGGTGTGCAAGTCTTATTCCTCAGCGTCGTCGTCCATGTTATTGCGATCGGATAATGTTTGGTGGCAATGAATAGCTCTTGACTATACCATCTTTTTTTTCGCTGTTTCAGTTTAGCAAGTTGAATCCTTTGCGTTTTTGCATGTTGTAGATACCCCATTCTTCTTCTTCTTCTTCTTCTTCTTTTTTTTTTCCAATCATCATACCGAATAGATGGTTGTAGCAAACTTGAAATCAATACTTTCACATTTCCATTCTTATGTGCAGAATATACACCGTGTGAGATCAATATGGATGAAGGGTGAAGACTCGTTATTACATTAACCCGCCCACCCTTTACAAGACACACACACACACACATATATATATATATATAGGAACTCACACATGAGCAGCGAATAACGATACAACACTTTATACCAAAGCGAGCACTCAGCACTAACCCAGTAGTTAAATTTCTCTCTCTCTCAAAGCCCAGAAAAAAAAGATACAAAGATAAGAGGAGAGAGAGAGAGAGAGAGAAAGACACGTGGATAAAGAAAGAAGGAAGAAGTATCCTTATATCCTTCCCTTCCCCTTTCCCTTCCTTGTCCTTCGTTCCAAAGAGAAAGTAAAAACGCCAGAAAAATGCCCAAAAAAGATAAAAAATAAAAATAAAATTGTATAAAACGTCGGAACTTTTTTTGGTTTTGGGTTGAAAAAAAAATTTCTTAACGCTTCCTTTTAGGAGATGATTGGGGGATATGGCTATGATATGATATGACTATGATATGATGATGATGATGATGATGATGATGATGATGATGATGATAATGGGAAACCCGTTAAAAAAAAACCCCTGGGACTAAACCCAACCGACCCGAAACCGATCCAGGTCTAACATTTGGTGGTGGTGTTTTTTTCAAAAAAAAATATATGTGTGAGAGTGTATGGGCGGAGGAGGAGGAGAGAACCTATGATATGCAAAGCCCGATTGATGGGAACCCGTTTAAAAAAAACCCCCGCCCTCTTTCACACTGATCTAATTCCTCGCACCCGCATTCTTTCTTCTCATCCCGCGCGCTAAAAAAAACCTGACTGCCATTACTCCTCCATCCTATCCGCATCCTTGGTCGAGTCCTTGTTTGTGGATTCTTTAAGGAACTGCGCGCGAAAATCCGCATTACTTTTTGGCTCGCCGTTGCTGGAGAGCGCACTCTTAGGTATCATGGGGCGGCCGAGGCCTGGTTTTCCTCTTCCACGACCGGCACCACGGGGGGCAGTGGGACGGGAGACGCGGTTGGGCTGGACGAAGCTGTTGCTAGCTTTCCATTCTCCCTTTTGTTTGTTCAGGTCTTGGACTGTGCCGATGCGTAGTTTTCTTCCTTCAAAGTCCTTGCCTTCGAGCGCAAATTGTGCTTTGCCTGCTCCCTCTACGGTTGTGAATTCGATGATGGCGCCGCCGTGGTGGGGCTCTAGTTTAATCTTTTTGAAGCCGTACTGTTCGACAAGTGGCTTGATGCGCACATCGGGGACAGTATCTGGCAGGTTGAGGATGGCGATAGACCGGTCCATGAACGATGCTGGCTTAAGAGCGGCATCTGCAGGTCCATTGCCCTGCCCGGAAGCTGTCTCATGGACAGATGGGGCTTCTGGGTTCTCGAGTGTTGATTGTATCTTTGGCTTCGTTGCAGGTCGGTCACTGGCAATCTCGACATTAAGTTTGAGACCATGGAACTCTTTCTCATGCATCTCTGCAACCGCAGCGTCGGCACTTTCTTTTGTCTCATAGACAATGTAACAGAAGCCGCGATTGTTCCCAGTCTTCTTGATGATGGGACATTTGGTTCTTTCAATCTTGCCAAACTTGGCAAAAGCGTCTCGGATCTCACGCTCCGTGATCTTGAAGTTGAGATGCCAGACGTATACCTCACGGCCCTCAGATGTCGCGCCGTCGCGTTTCTTTTTGGCGTTAGGATCGGATATCTTCGAGATGAGCTTTAGTCCCTCTACGTCAGTACCATCCAGCTGTGTCGCTGCAATTGCTTCTTCGGCAGAGGCGAATTGCACATAGCAGAATCGGCGATGTGCATCATATTTCAGAGAGGGGAATCGAATGCCCACAATCTCGCCAAAGGGGTTGTACAGGTTTCTCAACCATGCTTCATCGGCATGTGCGGGATAGTTTGTGACATAGAGTGTCGTGCTTTGGCCTCGCTCAATCGAAATCTCGTGGCCATCAAAGCCCTTTGCCTCTTTGCTCAATGCGTAATCAGCTTCCTCGGGTGTCTCAAACTCTACGACTGCAGTCAAGCTATCCTTCTCTTTTTTCAGCACCAGATTGCGCACAGTACCGGCGTCCGTGAAGAATTGGCGTATCCTGGTCTGTGATGTATTAGGAGGTAGCTTCTTGACAATGATGGAAGTATGCTCCCGATCCCGTTTAGGTCCGGTGGAGCGAGCCTCCGAGGGAGCTTCGCTAGCCACTCTGGCCTGGCCGTTGACCGCAGCACTAGCAACCTCCTCCGTCTCTCCATGCTTGCTCTTTTTTGGAACCGCTTCCTCATCTCCACCTTCTCTCTTACGCTTACTTGAAGCATCTGCTGCATGGCTCTCTGGGGTCTCTTGCAACGCCGCTGTTTGGGCTGCGAGTGCACGTTCCTTTTCCCTACGAACTGAGATGATGCGCTCTGCTCTTCGTCGCTCCATCGCAGCGCTTCGGACCTTGATGGCTGTCTCGTGTTGCTCACAATGATTGACATACATCTCAAGGAGTGGTTCCGGGTGGTCAATGGTCTGTAGGCGCTTCATACCACGTTCCAAGACTGCAGTTGCAAGAGAAGGCGGCAGGAGCTGGTGTCCTGCATTGTCCTTGTTCCGGGTTGAGTGTGGTGCCCAGAGAAGCATCTCAAATATGTAGTAGCGATACCAGAAATCGTATGAGTCCTCCTGGTGTTTTGCAACAGACTCTTGAATCTGCCGAGCTTGATCAATATCACCACGCTGAAGCCAGAACTTTATGTGGGTTCGTTCAAGACGGTATTTCGGGTCGGTCCACTCTCTGCCATGCTTCTTCATGCCGACTTCGCGGACAAATTCCAGTGCAGACCGTATGCCGACTTCTGCAACGTCGACGTCATCCTCTGTGGCTCGAGGGTCATCAAATGCTCTCCGGCGCAAGTAGCCACACCAAGCAAGCTGCACCTTGATAAGTTCATCCAAGTCAGTGTGCTCCAGAAGGCCCGATCCTGTTGCTGTGTGCTTGACGAGTTCGAGGTCTTCAAATGGCTTGTTTTCTGCTTCAAGTGTAAGTAGACGATGTGACCACAGTGCTCCAGACCAAGGACAGTGACGCGTCGCGCGTTCCAAGACATTCAGCAGGTCGACAGAACGGTTGTCTTGCCAGACAAGGAACTCGACATGATCCTCCCATATTGATGGATCGACGGGGAAACGGAGCGTAGCTCGCTCATAAAGCGCATTGACAAGGTGGAAGCTGTAGACGCCCATGGTGCGCTTCTCCCACTTCAGGTACCTCGTCATGGCGGTGTACTCGGCGGCTTGGTCGCCGGCCTGGATGGCTTGCAACAGCTTGAATTCATATTCTTCGCGATTGGCGTACTGTTGCTTGATGTGGGTGTTCTTCTGAACTGCATCATCCATGACTTGCTCGTAATGACTCTGGTTGTATCTAGAGTTGAACGAGGAATATCTCGACAGTGTGTTTGCCCATGTGGCATGAGGTTGGCCCAGACGTTCATTGTAAATGGCGGCTACTCTCTTTGCCTTTTCTTGGCTGAAACCACCCCGTTCGAGATCCTCTTCCAACACCTGCAAGTATCGATCCCACACAAGATTACTTTCTTGGAGGTTGTACTTGACTCTCTCAGCGCCCTGCTGCAACACATCCAGCAAGAGCTGAGGTTGGAAAAGCTCACGGCCGATAAGACGTTCTTCTTCCGGCCACTCCTCTGGCGGTACTTGGTCCCATGAGCAAGCGACCAAGTAGCTCACATACTCACCGTACGCTGCCCAGAGTTTGGCACTGTAAGGCTCTTCCTGGGTTGCCTGTTTATGCAACTCTAGCACGCCCATGCGCTCTTCAACATCTCTTGCCAGAGTCTTTTCGTCATTGAGTCGGTAGTGCCACAGCAGCTCACCCAATGGGTACTTATCAGACATGGTCTTGTAAGCATCGCGGAGTGTCTGGACGAGTTCGTATGCGTTGGGGTCGGCGTCGAAAGAAGCGAGGTGGTTCTGCAGGCCTTGGTGCAGTGTGGTGACGAGCGAGACATGGCTGTAATAGTCGAAGGGATTCTCAAGCAGGGTCTTGTCGAGTTGGTTGAGCCAATCGATAAGTTGCGGCTCGAGAGATCGCGTGACGAAATTGCGCGGTCGCGGCGAGGGTTCGGACATGATGCTGGCTACCGACTCGCCAGAGAGATTTTGGCCCAGGTGTTGGAGTCTGCAACACAGTCAGCATCTGGGGTAGGAAGTCGCAAACAAACCGAGTAACCATGACAGGCAGCCACGGCCCGTGACCGCGGCCAAACGCGTTGCCCATACTTAATAACCCGCTGGACCTATAATAGCCCCACAAACACGTGCAATTGGTACCGGGCGGTGACATGGTTCACGAGCACTGATATATACGTATATACACTTACGTTACTGGTCGCTGATGAACTGTAGAGTTCTGTCGCGCAGCTTGTTGTTGCTGCATGCTGGCGAGATCTGCTGAGTTGTCAGCAGCCACTTCTGAAGTTGTACGAATGCACCTTCTCCTTGACACATAATTCAAGCCTCACTTCAATGCTCAACCACGGCTTTGCGACGCCTCACGTTATAGCCAAAAGGAAAGCGGGCACCTACCTGCTAGTGTATCCATACCGGGTGTCGACGCCTGCCGGTACATGGGATTCGGAGGTGTCATGCGCGCGTCACGAGGCGACGAGACTTGCTGGGGCGTGCCCATGGCGCTGTGTATCGATCTTGCGCCATTGGCGATCTGGGTGTAGCCTGGCGACGGGCCTCGCGACTGGAGGGTTTGGTGCGGCTGGGGCTGGGACTGAGGCTGGGACTGAGGCTGGGGTGACGACGATGACATGACCTGCTGGCTGAGGCCAGAGGGAGTCCGCGATGGTATCTGGCGCCTCGTGCGCTTGCTCGGCGATGGTAGCAGTGATGGCGACGCGGCGGCAGGCGCGGGCTGTGGTGTGGGAGTGCCCGCAGGCGAGTCCGACGGCGACAACAATGAGTTGATATCCATGGTGAAGGGCGTCGGCTGCGGCGTCGGCGTCAGGCGCGCTGTGTGTCTATGGATCCAGTGTTTCTGTTTCTACCGTCGCGAAGTACAGGGACTACCAGGCATCGAATCCCTCGTAACGGACGGCATGGGAGGGGCGCAGACGGGCGGCGCAGGAAGCAGGGTTGGATGCGCGGGCGATGGGACAGTGAGGGCGATGGGAGGGAAGAGGGTCCTGCCAACGGCGTGGGTGAGAAGGCCTACAGTCTGATGGACCAGAAGAAAAGGTGCTTAGGTGCATCAGACGAGCTTGGGCCCGCAACTAATCAAGTAGTGATGCAGTAGCCGTTCGGAGCAGCCAGACGTCAACTGGCGATGGCGGAGGCTGCGCATGTGGCGGCGGGCGTGTTGCGCGTCACCAGGCTCGCGTCTCGACGGCAGCTTGTTCGTAAATGACAATGGCCTTCCTGCAAGGGGGCGGAACGACTCGATAGCTGCACACATTGCTTCTGAGGGCTTGATCGCCTTGCGTCTGGCTCATGGCGATCATCTGCCGAGACTCTCCACCCCCTGCAAGCGCGGAGCCTTTGGCCGCAACCACAGAATTTCCCGTCAACCTCAGCCTCCGCCCTCCGCACCCGCCGCACTCTCAACGGCCACAGGCCTGAACATCATGACCGCTCGAGTCCCGCCGCGGCGGCTGGCACAGTCAGGTATGCCATTGAGCCGCTTCTTTGGCCTTTTCTTGGCATGCTAATGTCACCACCATGGGGGGTAAACTGACAAACGACTAGCCCTCGCCGCACTGCGCCCTCGGACCCATTGGGTCTCTTCTACATCGCTCCCGTGCATTTCCCGCCGCAATGCGTCTTCTGGAGGGAGTGGGAATGACGAGGACCTTACCAATCCCATCCTGGACCAGTACCTGCGGAAGAAAGAGCTTGAATCCGGCGCAGTAGACGGCGGCCGATCAGTGCGCCCTACCCCTCGCTTTGGAGGCCTTTCGAACCACCCGTCATCCCTCTTCCGACCCGAGCACGAGATTCCAGGATGGAGAGACGACCTTAGTGCTGTTGAAAAAGAGAAGCTCCAGGCGCGGTACAGGCGGCGGCAGGAGCAGGCCAAACAGCAAGAAGAGCGGGAACTTATGAACATGACCATCGACCCCGATCAAACCGCCCGCAAGCGTCTCGAACGCAAACTCGTCATATCAGGTGTCAAGCGCCACGGCCGCATGACAAAGTCGCAAAAGCTGCTCCGCACCGAACGCGAATCGCTCTACAAGTCGCACAACCTGCCCACATCGACGAAAAAGCTGCAAAAAGTAGTCAACCAAATCGCCGGCAAGACCATCTCAGAAGCCCTTGTGCAGCTCCGCTTCTCCAAGAAGAGAATCGCCCGCGATGTAATAAAGGGTCTTGAAATCGCCCAAGATGAAGCCATTGTGAACCGCGGCATGGGCCTAGCGGGCGAGGCAGCCGCTGTCTCACGCTGGAATAAGCAACGAGAAGCTACGGATGCGGGGAAGCCGAAGGACACCTGGGACTACAAGACTTCCAGTGACGATTCTGGCATCGAAGTCACAAAACCCAAAGTCCCATTTTTCAAGGATACCACGATTGAGCTGAAGGATGGGCGCAAAAAGGTGGTCCGGGATCCTAGTGAGATTTACATCGATCAAGCATGGGTAGGGCCTGGCGAGCGCTGGAAGAGCCCAGAGTTCAGGGCTAGAGGTGCTGTTAATATGCTTCAGCACCGTACAACAAGTATGTCCTGATATCCATGTATAATCTGTGGACAAGACGCTAACCACACCACACCAGGCTTCTCCGTCCTCCTCAAGGAAGAAAAGACCCGCATGCGCATCTCAGACGAAATCAAGAAGAAGCGCGAAAACCGCAAAGTCTGGGTCGCTCTCCCCGATCGACCCATTACTTCTCAGCGACAGTTTTGCCTGTGGTAGATCTTTTCCAACGATACTTTTTTCATGTATACGAATCTAGTCGGGGAGCAGTATCCGCGGCTTGTAACAATAAATCACTCAAACTTGAATGTAACACACCTCACGCGGATGACGAAATCGGCAAGAAAAAGCTTATGATGCATGTTTTCCATATCCCCTAAAACAAATTACACATGCATAATTCGAATCCACAAAGTCCCTGCATCCCACTTTTCACGTCCCTGCATTCATCTATCCAATCCCTACATGTGTACATATCAACCCAGATCCATCCTTGTCACACATATTTTTTTTATCATCAACATGCACAAGAGAAAGAAGCCGACATTGCAGAACAACAGAAACCCCTTACAATCAGAAAAAAAACGCCATCGCTATGCAAATCCAAACAGGCATCGACACGCTCCGCCTCAAGCCTCCGCCTCCACCCCACCCACACTACTAACAAGCATATCCAACATACCCCTAACCTTCCACGCATCCTGGCTCGCCTCTACCGTAACCTTCACACGCTGCATAAGCGCCAGCACAAGATCATCCACCTCCTCGCTCCTACCCAGCTGATCAGCATAAAGGTCGAGGACAACGAGTGCGACATCGGTGGTGAGGCGCGTGATACGGTAGTCCGAGATATTCTTGATGCACCAGCGGAGGATGGGCTGGAGGGACTGCGAGTCGCGGTTGCTGAGGGCGATGCGGAGAGCGGAGCGGTGGCGCAGGGCGGTTAGGAGGGTTATGGAAGCCATGCGGGCGTTGCCTTGCTGTGTAATGTATTAGTAACAATGATGAAAAAGGGGGGGAAGGGAGAGGGAAGGGTTTACCTTTGATTCGAGAGCCATGTCTAGAGCTTGTGCGTACATTCCCTTTCGCAGGGCATGTGCCCATGGTTGACCGTTTGTGATTTTGCCGCGGGCATTGCCTTCGATGACGATGTCGGCGCTTTCGCCGGTGAAGTCTTTGCCTCTGATGCGCTTTTCCCAGCCTTTTCCGCGTTTTCGCTTTTTGCTGCGGTCGTATTCCTCGATTCTGCCTTCCATGAGGGCTTGCATCTCCTTTTCTCTTTCGCGTGCTTGTACTTTTTGCTCGCCGGAGAGATGGGTCTTGATTGATAGGAGACCAGACTGCATGCCTACGGCGATGTGACGATCTTCCTTCTGGCTGGGGATGACATTGAGTGAGAGGATGGGCGAGGGGTACTTTAGTCCGCCTACGACGTTCCAGCCAGTGGTTTCGAAAACCTTGACATGCCCGTCGAGCGCACCAGAGAGAAGACGCTCTCCACTGTTTGCCAAAGAGAGTGCTGTGACAGTCTTCTGGTGATTGCGCAGCATGTGGATGGGCTTTGCTGCTACAATATCCAAGACGCTGATCGTGTTGTCAGACGCCGCGAGAACGGCAGTACCAGAAGGCATGGGGAGAACAGTCTCGATAGGTGCTGCGTGCTTGAAAACCATGACTGCTTTTCCGCCTACTCGCGAATCCCATAATCTAACTGTCTGGTCGTAACTTCCAGAGACGAGCAGCCCACTTTGCGCGGGCATAAAAGTTCCGCTACGCACGTAGTCCTGATGGCCATCAAACTTCATCGTGCTCTTCTCGCTTGGCAGATCCCACAACCGTACTGTGCGATCGTCGGAACAACTCATCAGCCCAGTCAAGTCTTGCGGATTCCACTGTGTAACCCAAACAGGCTGCTTGTGCTCCTTCCATGTCTTCAGAATCGCCCTGCTCTTGACATCAAACGCCTGAATGACACCACTGTCTCCTCCCGCCACCAGGATCCGGCCATCACGGCGAATGTTTCCAGAGTGCGCAATGTCGTCGACGCCGAAGCGTGAGATGGTTTTGACGACTTTTCGGGTCTTGGAGGAGAAGATTTGGACGCGCGATCCAGTCGTCACCGCAAACAGATCCTGGGTTGCCGAAAGCGCATTTGCAGGTTGGGGCGGCGGTGTTGAAATGTATGTTACGGGCGAGGAATGCTGCGAAGGGTCGAGTCTGAGCTCTGAAGCGAAGGAGTTCCAGTATTTTTGCTCAGACGTTAGGGTAGTAGGGCCCTTTGGCAGCTTCAGAGGCTGCAGCAGTTGGACTTCGGCGGCCATTGTGTGGATGGAATGCGATCACAGCGCGTGAGGTTGCTCGTGTCGCGAGCTTTTCGAGTGGGACGAACTTTTCGGTGGAGCAACGATTGGAGCTAACCGCATCGAGTAGTGGCGCCTTCCCGGCCGGTATGCGGGCAGATGCCAAGATACATGCGTGTTAGTTCGCCGGGCGCATATTGCAAACAGGGTCCTGGAGCATCACCTTCACCCACGATCTCGTCTACCCTTTGTCCATGTGCACCGTTGCCCATACTTCCGCTGTCATAAATATCGCGCCCATATGCCACCGACTGTCGCCCAAGGGCGCGGCTGACTAGCGCTGGTTGCCTGGAGGATCCGCGCGCACCCAGTTCATCAGTCCACTCCGTGGCCAGCCACAGCCACAGCCACAGAACCTTCATCTGGCTCCCGTTCCGTCATAATCAGTTTCTGCCATGCGACTCTCACCTTGTGATTGCTGCTCTATCCACTTGCACCTTGTTGACGCCCGAATGTCTGATTGCCGATCACCTGGATAAGCCGCCGGTGCCCACTTGGACCATCGTCTCCAACCAGCCTCAACGCGTCAGGATGAGTGGCAACGCGATGGACAAAATGGACGAGTTCTTCGACTTTGCTGCGCTTGAACACGATTCCGCGCTCCACGCAACCAAGCCATCTCATCAAGAGCAGAATCTGCTCTTTCCACCTGCCGCCAATGTCACGACTATGGATTGGGCTACGGTCCCAATAGCCGCGACCCGTTCCGTGGATGCCACGCAACGTTGGGATGACACCATGAACGATCCTCCCCAAGACCCTTCGATTAGTCAGGCTGGCCAGCAATGGCCGTTGTTTTCAGTTCCTGAATGGTCATCACCTGTGAATGTGAACCCCACATTAGACTCTACGCTCGCTGGAGACTCAACCCATGGTGAAAATCCAGATCCTGCCTTCGCATCGTTGTCATCAATTGATGCCCCGTATCCAGACCTTCATCGTGTCAATGATGATAACATACCTGGTACATCCCAGCCCGAATCTACATCCTGGGACAGCCGGTCTGCAGCCCAGGCCAACCCTCCTCCTGAAGTGGCAGTTTTGCCTGCCAGTCCAACTGCATCAATCCAACAAGCCCCCAACGCCAACCGGAAGCCTGCATCAGCGAAGCGGAAAGGTACTCAAAGCCGCATTCCTATCGAGGCAAAACAGATTCTCGAGGATGAATTCGCTACCAATGCATATCCATGCTCATGGGAAATGGACATTATTGCTCATCAGGCCAATCTTGACGTCAAAAAAGTTCGCAATTGGTTCAATAACACTCGGGCAAGAAAGAAATGTGAAGGTGCGTAGTGTTGACACATGTTATATCAAATATGCTTATTCGGATAGATCTGCAACCTGCTGCGCAAACTGGCACGCCTAGTGGATACTCATTCAACCCAAGACTTTCAAGAGATAGTCTGGAAAGCTTGGATAAACAAGCAGACAGTGCGCTGTCACCACCACAGCCACCGTTGGCCATGTACCTTGCTCAGTCCTATCAAGAAGAAGGTTTGGCGCTATCCGCAGTAGAATCGGCAATCTATGAGCACTCGGTCAGTGGGAGCTGCCAGGACGACACATGGTCGGGATCGAAACAAGGCCGTAGAGGTTCTGTCATCACCTCAATTGCCTCCTCCGAAGGCACTGCACCGACTACCTATACAGTATCATCTAGCGGTAGTCGCAGTAATATCTCATCTTTCGGTCGAGACCGGCGGCGCGGCCGACGTCGCATGGCATGGAAGGAGTCACCTCGCCAAGCTATCAACGGCGTCAACAGTGCGGGCGAGCCACAGAAAGACCTGCCCTTTTTCTGTACCTTTTGTCCCCGAGCGTTCAAGACAAAGTACGAGTGGGTCCGTCACGAAGACTCCGTACATGCACTTCGCACCACCTGGATATGCTGTGACACGAAGCCAGCCGCAGTTCTTGAAGTGTGTCCTTTTTGTGGTCAAGTCAGTCCTGACGACGCACACCTGGCTGGACACAGGTATCAGCAATGTCGGAGCAAGCCCGAATCACAACGGACCTTTTATCGCCGCGATCACTTCATCCAGCATCTGCATCATGTACACTTTGGAAACAGCAAACATCCATCAGTGCGGGTCGGCTGCCAGGCGCGACTACTAGCCGCCGAGGGCCACAACTTTGGCTGCAAAGACCTTACAATGAAGTGGCGTCGCTTCGGTGCTCCTATGAAGATTGACGACCCCATGCTTCACTGTGGGTTCTGCGGTAAGAAATCAAAGGATTGGTCTGAAAGATGTGAGCATGTTGCCGAGCATCTCATTGCGCGTGAGGTGGATCGTGGTGTCTGGTGGACTGAGCGCAAGGAGAATCACTTGGAGAATCTTTACTCGGCATCACCCTACGAGTCGTTCCGTTGCCGGTACTGCCAAAAGGTGTTCACAGACGTCAAGGAAGTGATGGAGCACTCGCATTGCCGCGTCTGGAGCTGTCGATTTCTACGAAGTTTTGATGACGTCGCTGCCGACACTCCAAGCCCTCCTCTCGGAACAGAATTTCCCTCAGCAAAGGGCCATCATTGTCATTTATGCGGCGCAGGATATCGAGCCTTCCACATGGAACATGCCCAACATCAACATCGCTACCGCTCATGCAACCAAGAATTCTACACATCCGAGGAGTCCTTCCTCCAGCACCTCCACAACTTCCACGGCGCATCCCAGCCCGCACTCCTCCGCGGCAACGGCGTCATAGAGCAAAGCTTCATGCGCAACAAAGGCGGCTCCTTCGAACCCGTCGAGTTCAATGAGAGCTGGCAACCCTGTGTCATGGACCTCGACGTCGCATCCGTCAGCCCCTTCGTAGCAGACAACACGCGCTCGCCCCCGCCGAAGAAAACGCAAACACAATCCAAGAAGGCGCTGTCCGTATCCAAGAAACCCCGCGAAGCAGTGCAGGTCACGCAGAAAATACACAGACAGCGCGCAGCCAGTGCAGCATCGAAAGCTGAAAGCAATGGACCTCGTTTCTTTAGGCTGGTTACTCACGTCCCGTTTCTTTACTCGCGTGTTTTTTACTCGAGACAGGCTAAGGCGTCGAATTTGACCAAGGATGGTAAGACATCGTTAGAGGAAATACCCAGGCCGCACGTTGCGGCGTTAGTAATGAGCGCGGCGCTGGTTGGTATGGCGCCTGCTCGTTTGCCTATTCGTCCCGAGCGGGATATAGTGAGTGGGATGGTCGAACTGCGTCTTGACGGCGAAATGAAAACGGAGTAGTTAGGGACTTGTATTTGTATATCATTTAACGGAATTGCATATTGGATTTGGCAAGGCAGGAAAATAAAAAAGGAAATTGTTGGCGAGATACGTGTCGTTATTCACTCAGGTGTCATTAACGATATTCCTTCTCACCCATATCATTCCTCCGCTTTTCTATCACTTGTACTCTACCTCACTCCTGCCCCACTTCCCCTCCTCACTTACAACCTCTCAAGAACCCGCACGTCGCTCATAGAATCAAAGGGTATCACACTCGTCTTTGTATCACTCCTCAGCGCCCACTGCAGCGTCTTTTCCAGAATCCGGCGTCCCGTATGTTCAAGCTGTAACCTGTTACGTCCGCATTAGCCTCTTTTCGCCCTCTTTTTACGTCGTTCAAACGTAGAAAATTGGAAATAAGGGAAGATTAAGAAGAGAGAAAAAGAATTAACATACCAATGACCCGCTCCCTTGACAACAACAACCTGACTTCCCTTAACCATAAACTCCTTCGCCCCATCCAGCGCAAGCCGTTGATCAAACGCCAAATCCCTCTGTCCCATCATGAGCGTTGCAGGCGCTTTCAGCGCACCCTTTGGCGCCGTATTCGCCAGTGTTCCTGCATTTGAACTCGAGGAATGCATAGGGTTCGAAGCGATGTTGTAGAGCGCCGCCGTCGTTTCCAGACTCTTCTCCCAAGGCCCGAAAAACAGGTTTTCGCGGTATATCCTGATTTTCTCGGACATGCCGCGGTCTGTGAGGCGGGTTTGTAGGGAGGGAGGGTAGGAAGTCCCTTCGGGGGTTTTGGTGCGGAGTTGTTGTGAGTTGGGGCCGGTGGACGTGGCCATTGCTTCTGCGACTTCGATGGGATCCATGGGGGCGGGCGTTACGGATTTTGAGCTTTGTTTGGGGGTTTTGGAGGTGGGCTGGTGGGGTTTACCCAGTGTGTGAAGGATACGGAGGAACCAGTAGTTTCCGAAGGTTGCGAAACCAGCGCTGAAGGGGCGGGGGAGGTGGAAAATGAAGATGTAGAAGGAGTGTTTGAATTGGCTGGCGATGGGGCGGAGGGCATTGAGGCCGTTCTTGAGGAGGCGTGTGTTGCGCGGTGAGGAGACCCAAGTGTGTAGCATTTGTTTTGCAAGCTGGATTCGGTGGTGGATGTTGGAGGCTTGATGTCCGGGTATGATACCGCCGGTTATGATCCAGTGATCTGCTAGGACGTGGGCTTCTGCTGCGAGACGGGCGCCGATGATGGAGCCCCAGTCGTGTGTTACGGCTACGGTTTTGCTACCTTCTTGTAGATACTGCTCTCGTATGCTAATCATGAATTCGCTGATCGCTTCAAGCATGTCGTTTGCTCCGTATGTAGGAAGGGTGTCTGAGCCACCATAGCCGGGGATATCGACGGCAACGAGAATGGTGTCTTGTTGTAGCGAGGGGGATTGGAGGAGGTGTCGCCATATGATGTAGGAGTCGGGGAAACCTGGGTGAACGTATCCTTAGCTTCTCTCCTTTTGTCTTTTTCTACACCAGATATCCAGAGGCCTCTCCAAATATAGTCCACATACCATGTATAAAAATCGCGAGATTCTTAATTTTCTCTGACGACTGATCCCCCTCATGTACAACATAATGTATCCTCACCCCCTTGCTCGTGTCGAAAAACTTGTGTTTAAACCCCGGCAGCGGCTCGCGATCTAAACTCCAGAATCGATCTTGTGCACCAGTCAACTCGCGCTTCTCAGCAGCGCTGTCTTTTGCCCACAGCGCCCCATTCTTGAACACCGCTACCGTATAGATTTGTGCCAAACTCGCCAGTCCAAACGTAAACTTAAACCCACTCCATGCCAAATTCCCCAGCTGCTCTGACATATTTCACTCTGACTGCGCAAGGAATCCCGGGATTGAAGATGTGCTCGAGAGCTCTCGTCGCAAGATCAAGAAAAGCGAAAAAAAAAAGTAGGTATCTATCCTCAAATCGCCAGCAACAATAGTAAGTAGGGTATACGCTCGCCTTTCATGCGGCAAGTAAATATCGCTGTTAAAAATCCCGTAGGTAGTTGTAAAAAATCCAAGAAAGAGCAAAGAAGAAGGAAAAGAAGAAGAAGAAGAAAAAGAGAGAAAGACCACTCGTCCATCAAAACACACAAGCCCATCGCGTGCCCCTCCCCCACAGTCCCCGCCTCACCCAACCAGACCAGACCACCAAACCCAACCCAACCCTATCTAATCCACCCCCCCCCTTTCTCACACGCAGATCAAAGGGGACATTAAGGCAAAAGAGCAGCGACCCAGCTAACCTGGAACATATCCGCCCCTTGCACTTGTTTCCCGACGACGATCTTCCTATTATCCTTTGTCTCCCGCGCTCTCCCTGTGTCGTCACAGCGTCACGAGTCACACCCCCTCCCCACCCACGACACCAGCGCATCTCAGGGTCCAATGAGGCGGGAGGGGCGTTTAGTTTTCACGTTTAAATACTAGCGTACAATATGATGATCAATGGAAGGAAGGGAGGAGAGGGGAGGGGGGGTATGACGATGGTGGCCATAGCTTTTTGATTGGGGAGTCGAGTGGTTTCCCGTGTCGGTGTTGGATTGGGGCGTAATGGATGCGTAGATCTTTGATTTATGTAGCAGATAGTATTTTTGTGCAATTGGTGGGGGGGTAGTAGGGTTGTGCTGGGGATAACAAGATGTTTTTGCCGCGGTGATTGGGCGGATTAGGAAGGTGGTTTTGAAGGGTTGTGCAAGGGAGGGTGGCACGTGATAGGCGCTATTGGAGGGTGTGTTTCTCGCCAAGGGTAGGTGTATGAATGAATACAAAGTTGGCAATTTCAGCGTGATGGCTAAAGTTAAGCCGTGTGTATTTATGTGGAAACAACCCAAAATGTAGGTGTATGTACACGCGCATTTAGAGTTACAGTCTGGCTATGGCAGCCAACCACAATACGTCTTCATCCCCTCATCGTGACATCGCAATGTCGGGTATCATAAATTTTCGTCCTCCAGTCTTTCCCCAGAATCTCGTGACCAAACAAGTGCATCTTTCCCTTTTAATTCCCTATCTCACTGCTTCTTCCCCTTAACCCTCTCCATAACCCTCAACTCAGCACTCCGCTGCAACCTCAAATCCTCCAACTCTCTCTCCACCGCCTTATTCTTCTCAAAAACCTCCTTCCTCTTCTTCATGCGCTCCTTGACCTCTTCCATCTTACTCCTCACCACATCTTCCACTACCCTCTCCAGCTGCCCCGCATCCTCGATACCGTGCTCCCGTATGAATCTATCTGCAAACTCCTGGATTGTATGCGGCGAGGGTCCCGGTCCACCGGTGTAATATCCATTCTTGTGGGTGAGATATAGACCTGGTATTGCGGAGTTGTAGGTGCGAAGATGCGACGAGAGTGGTATGGGTAGTTGTGATGCGGAGATTGTAGGGATGTCTTGGGACGACTTCCGTGGTGAGGGAGCAGATGGCGGATTGAGAATGAGATCCATGAGGCTGTTTTCAAAGGCTTCGTCGTAGCGCACGGTTGAAGGAGAGAAGTCGACCATTGGTGAAGTGAGTTCGGGTTCGTCGCGTGGTGTGAGCGGCGCGTTGCTCATTATAGTGTCTTCGTTACTCATGACGTATGCACTTTCTGGTTCGCAGTGGGTTCGCGACACGTGAATTCAGGTGGGATATGTTATGCGACTAGTCAGGTATGGTGGAAGTGGAGTGAAGATGATGAGCGTAGTTGCGATGGAGACGTTGAAGCGTCATGACTAAGCCTTGACTTCCTGCACGCGCCTCCGCCGTGACTACGACCTCGATTCCTACCGACCAAGAACTTCACACTCCAACTTTTTGAACATCGCTATATCGTAATCATGGCCGATAAACTCCGCGCACAGCAACAGCTTGAAGCGCTCCAAGCGCGGTATATTGGTATCGGCAGCGCAGACACTACGAAACACGAATGGACGTCCAACATTGCGCGCGACTCGCTGTCGAGCTACGTCGGACATCCACCTCTTCTACAGTACATGAGCATCGGACTGGGACAGCCGCGCGAGAAAACCAGACTACAGTTGTTGGAAAGAATGGTTAGGCCTGTCGGGCCGCCGCCTGAGGTGAGTTAGAGCATGAGAAAGGGATTTGCTCTAGTGCAAATGCTAACAAGGGTCCAGCAACAAGACTGAGGCCGGATTGTATTCAGATGCAATGTGAAGAAATCTATCAAAAGCATTTCACTACGCAAAGAGAAGGGCAAAAGGCTGCTCTTGGTACCGACACGACGGATACATGCAAGGATGGTAGTCATACGGCAACGTAGAGCCCATGAGCCGGCTACGTGGTGCTTGTTTGAACGGCTCTTAGCTGATTCTATAGACATGGTTAAATCCATAGCAAACGCCGGAAGCTGGTGATGATGGTGGTGGTGGTGGTGATGGTGAGAGGCATGCAGACACCTCGACTCGAATGAAGATAGCCCGGCTACCCTCTTTAGCAGAGGCCAAATGATAATTCATAGCCCATGTTTTGTCGTGATGTTGTTGCCTCAATCGCTCTCACTTCCACTGCCTGCATGGCCGTCATCGTCATCCTCGACAATGTCTCCACCAGCCTGGATGGCAAACTCGCCCTTTTGCAGCATGCTCTTCAACTCCGTGTTTCGTGGGTCAACCAGCTCGACGGGCTTGAGCTTCGCCTTATTCCGTATTCTGGGATCGCATCCTGCGTCTAGCAGCATGGCGACAATGGATTGGCCGTGGGGCCAGACGTCTTTTTCGAGCGAGTTGACGTAGCGTACGGCTTTGTGGAGGGGCGTGTCCTGTTCCATGCGGTCGATTTCGTCAATCTCGAGGCCTTCTTGGTCGAGCAGCATGTCGATGACCTCGACTGTAGTGGCGTTAGCGGGTGCGTGTCCCGAGAGGCAGCCTGGGCGGAGGATTGGAGGTACTCACAACTTCCGTAAGTGGCAGCAATGTGAAGGCAGCCGTTGCCGAGTCCATCGCGCGCGTTGTTCAGTATGTCTGCGACATAATCGGCAGGCTTCTTGTCCGACTTTTTGGCAGCCGCATTCAGGTCGGCCAGTGTTTCCTCGAGGAGCTCGGTGTTGTTGCGTCGGCAGGCTTCCAGAACAAGTTCTCGCGGAGAGGCTCCCTGTAGGCAAGTTTTAGCAGCGGTCCTGTTGGGAGTTTCGGGGCGACAGCCATGTACATACGTCGTGGTGGTCAGCCATGGTGTAGGAATCCCGTGGATGCTTGCAGTGACTGGACAAGGGCGGGTGGCTGACAGGTCGGGCACAGCACACACAGCACACGGCACACGCGCGAATGTTTCGTCGACTTGTTTGGCGGGGTATTTCGGAAGTGCTAACGGAAACAAGGTGACAGGCCCCAGGGCGGTGAAGAGGGCGATGCTGTTGTTCACGGCGGCGCCCAAAAGGCTGCGATAAGACGTCGAGGTAGTAGTCAGTGAATTAGTGACATTGGCTGTCCTCTCCCCGGATCCAGTTGCATAAGCTCGCAATCTGAGACAGCCCGACACTCTCCCAAGCCCAAGTCCGCGCCGCCGCCGCCCACCACTGCCACCACCGCACAAGGCTATGGCTGGTGGCTCGCCCCGCACTTTGCCGCTTTCGGCCTTAGCGCCCTAGGGTCCCGCCATAATCTTTCGAGCAAACGCATGCATCGACTTCTACGTATGCCTACATATAAGTCCATGTACATGTAACAGCCACAACCACACGGCCCACCACCATGCTGCTCTGTAAGTAGTCGCACACGACCCCGCGCTTGCTGGCACTGCAGCCATGGCTGACACAAAATCCCTCTAGTCTGCCCAACATGCAGCAACATGCTGCGCGTCTCTGCTGTCCCGCCCGGCGACCCTACCACCGAGGACTTTGTCGGCCAGAACCGCTTCGAGTGCCTCACCTGCCCCTACCACTTTGTCATCAACAAGCGCTACTATGAACGCAAATACATGAAGAAGAAGGAGGTCGAGGATATCCTGGGAGGAAAGGGCGCATGGGACAATGTCGACAAGACCGAAGGTATGTGGCCAAGCCTAGTCTCCAGCATGCATGTCCTGGCAAGAACACGATTCTAACACCAGGAACCAGTACAATGTCCAAACGAAAAGTGCAGAAACCACGAGGCATACTGGTATCAATTGCAGATTCGCAGTGCCGACGAGCCCATGACGGCTTTCTACAAGGTGAGTTGCGCTTGCGCCGAGGCAGGAAGGAACCCATGGCTAATTTTCAACCAGTGTACCCAGTGCGCCAAAGAGTGGCGAGAGTAGACTACCGCCATTTCTACCACACATGCATAAGCCTGAGGAGTTTAGGAGCAGTCATTTCTTTGGTATACCCGGTCGAATTTCCACAGGTGCAAAAAGGCGCACCATCATTCTTGCGCAACAGTGGCCCAGTTCGATTTGCCGGTCCAGAATTTCATTCAAAAGCATCGCAGACTAGCATAAGGATTCTTTTAGATCATGGCGCAAGCTCGCCAATAGGCCACATGGATAAAATTTTGATCTACGGCCGAAAAGAATATTTCTTGAAAAAAACAAAAATCCACCCTCATAGCGTATATGTTCCAAACCTAACATACCAGCACCATTTCCCATCCCCCATCATCCTCCCCTTACGAATCCTTCTGCGTCGTCGTCCCCTCTCTCCCAATTATACCAAACATCGGCACAACACTATCGCTAATCCCCTGCACCTTATCCCTTGCACCACTACCACCGCCAGCACCTCCCTTGGGACTCCCCATCGCAGGCGTATTACTCGGCCATGCCCACAGCGTATCAAAATCAATCTGCTCGTCCAGCCCGCTCTCCTCGCTGTGCAGGCTAGGTACCCGCGTGGCTTCGAGTGCCGAGAGATCCAGCATTGTGGATAGCGAGGGCGCCCCCAGAGACAGCGGTGCAGACCGCGTGGCCATGTCGAGCGAGGGTGGTCTCTGGATCGGGGATAGATGGACTGAAAATTCCGGTTCAGGCGGGTTGAGTGTGTTTTCTTGTGTTTGGGCGGCGACGGAGACGGGGGCTGTGGGCTGGACGGACAGGTGCATGACTTGGGGCTGGGGCGGTGTGTGGACTTGGCCTGGAACTTGCTTGATGAGCGGTCGGTCTTTGAGGGGTGCTGTGTGGAGGCCGGGGTAGATGTGTATGGGGACTTGGTGGAGTCGGGGTGTGCCGTCTAGGGGATTTGTTGGCTGGACTAGACTATTTACATTCGGGGTTGGCTGCTGCTGTTGTGCTTGCTGCTGCTGCTGTTGCTGAGGTACCTGTACGCCGTACAGCTGTGATGCTATACTTGGCAGCGTCGAGTTGCTCGTGAGACTGTCTTTCCGCCGTAGACGCTGTTGTGAGACTACGTCTCTGAAGGAGCTAAGAATGTACACAAGTCTGACTGCCTGTTGGTCGCTTTCAGCGCAGTAATTCATGATGTTGATGGCGTTGGTCACGCAATTCTCTGTTGCATCGATCTGGTAGAGACCGGCAAAGTCGCTGGCGAGGATGACAAGTGTAGCTGCGAAAAGGAAGTAAATAACGGCAGGATTGCGACGGGGCAAGTAACCCGCTTCAAATGCGTTTTGCACCAGAAGGATAGTGTGCACAGAGGCAATCACACACGCCTCGCTGAACCGTTCCATACGAACAAAGGGTCGAGGCCCCCTATTTCCCGGCTGCTCTACCTGGCGCTGTGTCTCCTTGTTGAGAATGTACAGCAGAAACGGCCGAGTCAGCAGAATGATGGAGTGACAGTAAAACAGATTGACGTGCAGAATAGCTACACCCTGACTGGGCGATGCGGTCGCAGCTTGTCGCCACTGTAGAATGGGTGTCAATGCCCGTGGCCATTTCTTGCAAATATCAGAAATCTCTTGTGCAAGCCGAGTGCTGATTTTGCGTCTTTGGTAAACTTTGCGTAAGATGACACCAATCACCTTGCAGCTCCGCACGACAGCTTCTAGTGCTGCAGGCCCTGTTTCGTTGTAGTCGTACACTGTCTTTGGAGTAAAAGCCCAGGACTGGTTGTAGTCACCATCAGAAGGTTGAAGCGTGTCACCAGAGCAGTCGTCCTCAGATATAGCTGTCGGGCGACCCAAGGAGCATGATAGAAGACGGTCGATGACGAAAATAGATCGCCACAGATCCTTTCGCTGAACCTGCTCTTCCGGACTGAATATCACCATGGTCTCTTCTCTGTGAAGACCCAGTGCAACAGCGGATCGTGCTGCCATGCCAAGCAGGGCGAAAGCAGTATTCCGCTTTGTCTTAGCCAACATGTAGACTGACATGAGTAACAAAGCCTGAACAGACCAAAAGTCCTGGTCCTCTAGACCAGTCATGGGATCGTTGAGGCTCTTAGCGTTCAGGTAGAATGCTTCCGCTCGGTCGAGATGCTCGCTCCGCAGCTTGTCGATGATGAGAGCTTCTTGACTACCAGACAGCGGCGTTGCCATTGTCAAACCAATGGCAAACACCAGGTAGAGCAGGCATAGCCATGACGAACTCACCGAGAGTGGATCCGAATAGCATTGTTCCAAGCTTTTGAAGAAGCGGTCACGGTTAAAGACTTGCAATAACCCATGGGTATTGATGAAGAAGGCCTCGACCAGAACCCGGGCCGTCTGCTCGTCGGGTAGGAGGTGTGTATGCTGGTAACCATGTGGAAGCGAGTACTGGCCCTCTACTATCTTATGTCGACGAGGATCGGTAGTGAATGGAGAAGGTCCGGCTACCGTCTCAACCATCATCCGAAGGAGCTGGAGGAAAGATAAGGTAGCTGCATCACCGATATACAGTACCCGACCAGTAGGGTCCTGTAGCATCCTGCTCTGGCTCGGAAACTCGGCGACATCGTCTCCACCATCATGCGAAGTGGTGTCCTGTGACACTGCCTGTCGACTGTCGTCACTGCCATGATTCGCTGGCGGTTGAGGCACGGCAGCAGAGTTCGCAGCAGGGGATGGATAAGGAACCTCCTGATTTGAGCTTACTGCATGGGACACGAGGGATGGCTGTTGAGGAGCGGTAGATGTACGTCGGTGCAGGGACAGTGGTGAGGGCTGAGCCTGCCCATTGGTGGGTGTATTTGCCGACGAATTACCATTTATGCTACATGTAAGAAAGACCAGTTAGTACTGAGATGAACTGAATCAAGGCATCCATCAAGAGTATCTCTCATGGATCACTTTTGTGTACATGCAAATACCATGCATGTTTGACATAACTGCCACGTGATTGGAAGAAACGTAAGTACATACACGGGGCTCTGGGCGTTGCTAGTAGTTTCAACTACACGCTTCTTCGCGGGTGGCCTGTCTTCGCTTGGAGAGTTTGGGTCTCGGTCCGTGTATATGCATGTGAATTTGCGCTGACCAATTTTAGCATATTGACGCGTGAATAAGTTGAAGGCTTACCTTGTCGCAAGTGTTGCAAGGTTGGAGACCGTTACACTTTTGGATGGTTAGCTTTGGTCCTGTTGATTGGAGGGCTTGTCGGAGGTGCTGTAATGATGGAGGGGCAGGACTAGACTAGGACGTCTACGTTAGACATGTGCACCAAAAGGGCTACTCTTGCGTGCAAGCCCCCGGAGCATTGCACAGGCTAATGACATGTTCCGAGCCTACTCGTACAAATACCCGGCCTCCGCTGTGCTTGGGCTTGGGCGTGGCCAAATCAAACCGTTGGGTGACATGCTGTGAGGCGAGTGCACCAAGGTTCTGCGCCGAGGACTGGCAGCATGCAAGATGAGCCCGCTGTGAAGCAGCCGTCTTGGAGAGGGATGAAAGCGCACAAGTCAACTCGCCTTTTGTTTTCTGCGCTTGCAGCTCTCGCATGCCTGTGCAGTGCGTTGCCGCTGATCTATGCAATACCGTGTTAGCACCACTACGGCAGCCACACCGACACACACGAAACGGACCTGGTGGAACCTTTGGGCGCGTCATCCTGTAAAGGCTATGTGCGTATGCGCCTCGGCTGAGGTCGGTGGTTCGTCACGTGCAGCGGCGTTGAGTGCTCAATGCTGATGATGGGGACATTGCCGACGCGACGGAACGATGAAGTATGATCGGAAGACGCACCCGCTCCAGGTGAGAACGGAAAGGAGAGCCCCCCGGGACTCGCACTCGCACTCGCACCCCCACCGCCGGATGCACTGCGACGCAAAAGGGGTCCCACAGTTTTGAGTCGAGCGACTGGCGCGCGAGCCGGCGATGACGGGACGATAAAGACGGTCCTGCGGATGGTTTATGGGTGCAATGCCCATGGGGTCGTCCCTAAGCATCGCGCAAAGCTTGGGCCAGCACCTTTCCGGAAGTCGGGTAGCGCAGCACGTCTGCCGATCGTCACAGAAACCGTGTTCCTACGTACTGGGCCAGTCCGCCTTCGGCATCATGCCGTCCACATGCACGCCGTGGTTGGTAGACGAGGCTCATCGCCACAATGGCTTACTAGGACCAGCCTCGACATGCAGCCAGACAGTCATTTCAACGGCTCTGCCGTTGCCAATCCTGGAGTCTCGGTCCGCCCGTCAACGGCTCCCATGGCTTGCTATTAAGCTGCCGCTGCCGCTGCCGTCACTCGGCCTGGCAGAGTACACGTCTGGATATCACCATCATCATCATCACCGCCATGGCACCCTTCCTAGGAACAGAGCACGACCATAACAATCAGTCCACCCAACCAAACGCCTTGCTGTTGGGTACAAGAACTGCCCTTGACCAACTACTAATAAAAGCCAAGGACAACCTCCCTCGAGAGTCACTCCAGCATATTACCAATGTCAAGTTCTCAACTGCCAACACGGGTTCTCCCTACTTCCCTAGCCCATTGAAGCAGACAGAAGCAATCTCAGCCCTCAAGGCTGTCGAGGCAGGCGTTGCGTCTGCTATAGCTGATCTTCACAATGGTCAGAAAGATCGCCACATTGCGGTCGATCTTGAAAGAGCAACTGCATTTCTCTTCTCCACCTACCTCACCACTGTAGGAGGCCTTGACAAGTCGAATCCCAAAGTTAAGAAGTTGCTCAAAGGTAAGCATTGACAATCCAGACGCTCATATCAGTCACCTGACCAAGACAGACACGGACCTTCTCCAAGCCCAATCCATTCTCTACCGCAGGTTGTCTGCAAACCTCTATGAGACTAAGAGGCCGGGGGAGTACTTTCATCTGCACGGCTCCCTCGAGGCAACCAAAGCACTGAACATGGTTGGTCTGGAAGGCTTCCGACCTGATCTGACCGATTACCACGAGTGTATCAGAGTAATTGAGGATCGCGTCCGAAAATTTACGGTAGAAGAGCTTGAAGAAAAGAATCGGGCGATCAAGCAGGCCGGTGTGACCTGCCTAAAATGGGATGACTTCCGAACTACTGAACATGGTCAAGCACTGCTGCAGGAGCCGCCCTGGAAAGTAGAACCTCTGGAAACCGACACGCCACCAACCCCACTACCCTTCCAATCTTCACGTGCACCAAAGCCGCAGATCCTCTCTGGAATCCGTGTTCTTGAGCTTTGCCGAATCATTGCCGGCCCGGCAATGGGCCGTGGTCTTGCCGAGTATGGTGCAGAAGTTATTAAAGTCACATCGCCGAACCTGTCCGATGTGCCTTTCTTCCAGGTGGATGCTAACATTGGAAAACATACGACCGACTTGAACTTGAAGGACCCAAAGGATCGACAGACATTTGAGGAACTTCTGCAGTCTGTGGATATCGTTCTTGATGGCTATCGGCCTGGCAGCTTGAATCGTCTTGGATATGGACCACAAAAAATGGTTGAACTAGCGAAGAAGCGTGGCAAGGGCATAGTATACATTGCTGAGAACTGTTTTGGCCACGTGGGACCATGGTCATCACGTCCAGGCTGGCAACAGATTGCAGACTGTGTTACCGGCGTAGCCTGGGCACAAGGTCAAGCAATGGGGCTGAACGAGCCTGTCGTACCACCGTTCCCCATGAGCGACTACGGCACAGGCTGCATGGGCACTATCGCTGCCTTGGTTGGGCTCTATAGGCGGGCCAAATCTGGTGGAAGTTACCTCGGTCTCACTTCTCTATGCCAATACGACATATTTCTGCTTCAGCTTGGTCTCTACGACGACCGCACAATGGCTGAGCTCAAGAAGCAGCATGACAAGGAGTTTTTCGAGCTACGTCATTACGATTCAGTAGATGAGGTTGGTAAGCGGGCTCTCAAGACTATGAGGAGAACACACCCAGAGCTGTTTGAGAACCGACATATGCAGGAGTGCTTCAGCAGGGGTTTTAATGCTAATGTCAGAACAATTCGACCAGTAGTCAACATTGAAGGCTACTGGAACGGGTTCCTGCGCAGCTCGCGACCGAATGGTTTCGACAAGCCTACATGGGATAACTGGGAGGTTGATGCAGATTTATTACGAGCATAGCGTGTTTCCTTCCTTCTATCTAAGCGTTTCTTTCTATTTGTTCCTGTACCAGCCTCTTATTTCCCCTGTAAAGCACTACTGTACTACATAGCCCTCCCTTTCTACTAAAATTCCAAATAAACCTTATACGTCACCTTTTCCTCATCTTGCATTGTCACTCTTCCATCATCTCACCAACAAGCTCCATGCGTATAATACCTCGCCAAGACGGTGTAATACACAGAAACGTGCATTAGCCCCACTTTCTCATAACGGCGCCGCCCCCCACCCATCTAGACTTCTATTTCTTGTGTAAGCTGGGTGCATCTTCCGACGGGGCGGTCTACCAAACTAGAAACAACGCAATCTGGCATCTGCCCTACCTGCATACCACATCCATACATACATCCATACATCTGTATCGTCTGACATGTGACACGTGCACACGTGACACTCACACCCACCCCCCAAAATGGCAGGAAAAAGGCCAAAAACTCTATAGTGTCCCGACGCAGTCTATCAACCCTCGAATACAGATCTATCTATCTACGTAGGTGTACACCACGGCCCTTTCACCTCCCACCCATATCCTTCCCTCTCAAACATTCCCTCTCTCTTCACCTTGCCTAGCTCCCCCCGAAAAAAAAATAGAAGAAGATTTTTTTTTCTTCTTGATCCCTTGTTATCCCCCCCTTCCCACCCTCCCGAAGTTTACCCTGCGCGCTCTAATCCCAGCTTTTTACAATCATCGTCATCGTCGTACCTGGGGGGGGGGGTAAATCCCCACTCTCTCTCCATTACCCAATCTGCGATACTTTATGCATCTTCCGCCCTGCGCCCACCCTGCACCCGTTAAGTATGGGCTGTTTGTTGTAGTGGGTGTTAACTAGGTACTTCTACGTAGATGTTGCTATATTGGTACTTTTGTGTAAAGGAGAAGGCGGTTGGACGCGGCTTTGGGTTTGCGGAAATAGTGGATAAGGTAGGGTAGGGAAGGGAAGGGGACTAGGGTTAGATGCGTGAGTAATGGTCATGGGTGGGTTGTTGGGGGGGGGGATTAGGGTAAGTTGGGTTGCGGATGTCCTGGGTAGTGGGTTTGGTCGGATGGGTGAGGGTACTAAGCGCTGCGCAGGGGAGAGCGGTGTGAAGGTAACTCGGTTTTCTTTTGGCCTGCTTTGAGGTTCCGATGCGTATGCGTATGCGTATGCGTATGCGTGTGCTGGATGACAGCTTCCGATGGTTTTACTTGGCGTTGTTGCGGATGGGCATGGGGGAAGGTGTAGGGTTTAGGTAGGGCTGGGGTTATGGTAATACTAGGGTTAGTATAGTATGTAGTTTTTGTTCTTTTTGTGGAGTTCGAAAACGGGCTATTGGGATACGAGTGATGGGCCCAAGGGTTGAGGAGCACGTCGCTAGTACCTTGATTCATGGAAATGCCCATGTTATATGTGTCGCTGTTTTTACGACTTCAGTGCTAGTCGTCGAGGTGCATTGTAGCGCCAAATACTATCGAATAGTAATCGTTAGCATGAATCTTCCGGTCAAGACATGTAGCGTTGCTGGAGTGCTATTTCTCGTAGCCTGAACCTTAGATATCAACCCCACTCGTACACACGACACCCCGAGGATTCCGGCTACTTCATTCTGACTCATTGGACGTAACCCCACTCTGCCCGGGCAAACAATCTGACAGTACAAACGAACCGCATAGCTCTGTACTGCATCTTTCTGTATATACTTATTAGTCTTGATATGCTATCTCTCGTCGATTATAGACGTATCCTTGTAGATTATAGAGCATTTCTATAGCGTTAGGGATGCATATGTATTGAGCGCCGGAGAGAGGATAAGAGGATGTTTGACAGTGGTGTTTCGTAGGAATGATGACCGCGCGATTCCAGTGGCCCTGGCGTATGCCGCTAGGACTTGCTGTATGAGCATTGGGGCTCGTTTACATCGTATATCTTATTCGTCGACATTTGGCTCGATATAAGGTTTCGATGGTGATGACTATTTTGTACGTCATTTCTTGTTTCAATCTCTAGCTGCGAACTAGTTCCCTGTTGTCGTATTCTGCTCGAAATCAAGCGGTCGAAATATTTGCCTGTACAATAAGCGTATCAGCGTTCCCAAGAACAAGACTTCTTTTCGAAACAGCGTGCTTAAATTGTAAAAAAAAAATGAAAGTCTATCTCTATTCTTGGAACCCACTCTTTCATTTCACACTTGCTATCATCATGCCTGCGCCTTCTTAAAAACCTCAATCGCCCACTTTCCAAGCTGCTCATTCTCAGCTGGCTGTACTGGGTAAAAATGTCCAATGTCAACTTCCTTGACTGTACTCTTTCCTTCGGCAACCTCATAGCACTGCTCAACCAACCGTTTGCCTATAGCCTTGAACTCATCCTGATTACCCAAGATATGGTACGCCGGGATAGCAATCTTGCTCTCTAGTAGCTCCTTCTTCTCATCCTCGGAAAGCTTGGAAGCGTCTAGCGCAGCAGACACGGATTGCGCGATAAACGGCGGTGGAGAACTTCCGCAAATGGAGATACCAAAGCCCCAGTCGCACCAGTCCAGTTCATCGACGTCCTCACCTTTCTCCTTGAGCGCAATGATGATTTCGGCACACTTGAGGAGGCCGGTGACGACGCGGGTGCCTTGGGAGAACCCGATTAGGCCGACAACTTCGCCGCCAGAGTCGCGGATGCGCTTTACCGTGCTTCGGATGAGTTCCTCGACTTCTGAGGGCATGGTGGAGATGTGAGGGCCATCTTTGAGTTCTTTGGCCGTGTCGGAGGCGGAGAGCCAGCGCTTGTAAGGGCCGCAGCCGTCGAAGAAGGGGAGGACACCTGGACCAGCTTGCGAGGGGAAGGGTGCTGATTAAAGTGAGTATTTGAGTTTCTAGTGTATTCGAATCTGGGGGAGAGGGTCTTATGTAGGTCTATGCGGTTGAATGAGATATCTCATGCTGCAGACTTGGGGGTAGGAGTCGGAATGAATAAACATTGCAGGGCATGACTGTGAGAAAAGGGAGATTTGGAAGCGCAAAATGCATACCGCTCAGACTCTCAATCTCAAATTCCGAACCAAACACTCTTGTCAATCTCGCCAATTGTACAGTATGTATCATAGAATTGCTGCCTGAGCCATGGAAGGCCAGAATCTTGGGCTTCGGGTCCATTTTCTCTGCTCAACGTCTGATGATGTTTTGCTCGTGATGGGCTCAGTACGTCAGCTTCTTTCACCTTCAAACTTTCTTTTCTTGGAATTTTTCTTCCTTCTCTTTTAATTCAAGTGCAATCAGCTCTACCCCTTTGCGCAGACCTGTTGACTCTGATGTAGCGCGAATTCAGCCCCCAAAGTCGTAATGCGGGGTTGGAATTATTGATGAACAGCAGTTGTTAGAGATGAAAATTGCGTGATGAGTCTTCGTTCGACAGCTGTTCTTTACGCTAGCCTTTCGGACTCAAGCTCTTCTTTCGACTCTTCTTTCTTGTGAACCCCTGAAGCCGTGTCTTCAGTGCACACAAGGAGAGAATAAGAATATCCTCAACAAGCTCCTCAACACACTTCACCGATATTTGCGGTGTGAGTTATCTTTTGTCAGGTGCTGACAGCCAGAAAAAAAGCAAATCCAAGTACCGGCCCGAACAAGCCTTCCGTAATCGGACCGCAAATCAGTTTTCTTGTTGAACCACGTAGTACGGACGCAGAGGTGCAGACATTCGGGTTGAAGGTATTCTAGGAAGGGGATCTTGTCTTTGTGTAACACGAGAGATAAATAGGAGTGGTTCTTCCCTTGCGCGTGGGAGCTGTATCTTGCCTTGTATGTTGGAGGCCGAAGATGCGTGGTATGGTGGGGTAGGTAGGAAGATGGGTAGGTGGCATATCTACTAGGTTAGTTAATAAGCCAGCTGCACGCCTCATAAGTCGAGAGCGACTATTTCAACCAAGCGAGCACACTACAATCAGGCCTGCATCAGATCTATCTTGATAACACGATGCATAATTGTGGTATCTATACCCTTATAATGATACACGCCTTCTAAATGCAGCTCAAGGGAATCGTCATTGTGAATGCGCACATGGCGTGCTAAAAGAAATACGTGACCGGAAAGGAAAAGTACCCATACGAATACCTACGCCAAAAAGACCAAATGGAAAACCCCATAAAAAAACTAGAAACGGGTAGTCCCCGCTCGTACTAGCGTGCTCGACGACTCACTCGAATTCTTACTTCTCCTTCCACTCTTCGTACTTCTCCCTGAACTCGCAGAGTCTGCCCTCACTCTGGAATTTTGGTCTTGTTCTTTGATTGACCTCAAGATCTTGATACCCTCCTCGGTCTTGCCTAACCGAGAAACTAAAGCAGTGTTCTCGTGCTGTAATTCGCCAATCTGCAGCTTAAGCAGTCTGTTCTCCTGCTGCAAGATATCCAATCGTTGTTTGTACTCGTTACGCTCTCGCTGGATCTTGCTGAGTTGGTTCTTAGCCGCTTCTTTCTGTTGGCGCGCAAGCAGTTTACGAGTCTCTTTCTCTCGACGCTCCTCGAGTTTCCGTATCTCTTTTTGATACTTGTTTTCTTGCTTTCTCTTCTCTTTTTCATGCTTCTCGTTGGCCTTTTGTATTTCTTTCTCCGTCTTAGAACTCTCAGTTTGCAAGTTGGTGTCCAGCTTTTCCTGGGCTTGTTCCAGCTTAATTCTCAGCTGATCCTTCTTTTCTTCAATCTTCTGTAGTTCTTTGGTATGGTGATCGTCTGCTATCGGCAAGGACTGTTGAGATGCTGTAGACGGCGTTGGAATTGATGTATCGATTGGAAGGCCTTCACGCGCAGTAGTAAACTGCTCGGCAGAGGCAAAAGAGTCTGCTGAGGAGGTGCTCGATGAGCTTGCAGAATCGCTGCGCTGTAACTCCAAGTGGTTACTCGGGTACGTGGAGTTTTCCGCGATGCTAACTCCAACCCCAGCAGAAATACCATTCGTATCTGCCACGGACATGGTGCGCGTAACTTCGTGCAGGCTTCCTGTATCGGTTTTGACTTCTAATTCGTCATTCCTCGCGCAGGCCCAGTCAAGAAACTTGACTGCGTCCTGACATATGCTGCTGGGCACATTTCGTTCGACCATGAAGCGAGGTATGCCACCTCCAGGGTCACTGCGTGTAATCATGATCCATTCGACTGGATTAGTCTCTGCGTCGCCGTCTGGCAATGGTATCTCGCGTATCATCTCGACCGACTCGTAGAAACCCCGTACCATGTTACTTCGTGGCGGCGCATTTGGGTGCGAGACAGGTATGGAGACAACCATGAAATGTCGGGGTATCGTGTTAGCGACTTTTGACGCCTCGGTCAGACAACTATCCGAGGTGATGAGGAGGGTAATGAACTCGCGCGGATAGGTTGGTCCTGGAAATTGAGCTGAAAGTTGGTATACTGCGACGTTGTCAGCTGTCTGCACTTCTTGGACTGTATGCCACACTGTATACCTTGTAGCTGTCCTACGCCATCTACAGTCATGTCCTCAAGTCTCTGATCTCCTCCAATACCTCGCACATTGCCCTCGCCCGGACCGCCTTGGACCTTCAAGCTCTCTTCAAACTCGCTCTGCATGGCACGCTTCCATTTATTGAAGCCTAGGCCTTCGTGTACACTTGCCCTCGAGAACCAAGCTCCATGCCTATCCTTCCCGGCCATCTTGAAAACGCTCATCCCCGTAGCGGCATCGGCATTCCCCAGCTTGAGAGGTTTACCCCATGACTTTTGCAGCTCCTCATGTGTCGGAGCTGGTGGAGGTCGCCGTACTTGGGAAATGGTGAGATCCTTAGCGCTCGTTGCGGGTTGTTGCTCGGTTCGCGTCCGTTGTGATGATTCGTAAGGCGTGCCATTGGGAGGCGGAGGTACAGAGTTTGCAATCAGTTCTGCTTTAGCTAGTATATCGGATAAGAATTCCTTGAGATTATCGGTTGGGACGTCACTGAAATCTTTTGGCCTCAGGCAAGCGAGCGCTTCATGCAATTCCGTCATGATGAATACGATTAGGACTTGTTGGTGGGTGAGGGAAGTCCGGAGATGTTGCAGAGAGGACGGACGAAGCAAAAGGTCACGGAAAGCTTAGGCTTTTGGCAACCGCGCCCTGATAGCGGCGAGATTTGCGGACTGTGGAAGTTCCGATGTAGCCGTGGAGCGAACTGGCTGGGTCCGGTGACGGTCGATGAAGTCACTACGACACGGGAGCAAATGTCGGAAGCTATGTGCCTCAGTCTCGCTGAGCGTCTAAAGCATATGCGAATGTAAGTTAGGAGAGCAGTTGGTCGAAACTCAAGGACTCTGATGCACACGACAAGGTACAGCGCGCTCGTATTCCGCGTATCGTTGATTCGACGTCATCCCTGCTCCTATGCGTTGGTTCGCCGTGCACAGGCACAAGGCTGTGGGGTCGCCTGCAACTCCGCCGACATCCCCTCCAACTTCGGAATCACACTTGGTCCGAGGCCGCTACCTACGTCACACCATACACTCTTTTGGGGAAACTTGCGAGATGATCTGGCTCGCCCTGTGCACAGTCGCACAACGCATACACCAGTCCTGTCACTATAGCACTTTGAACAGGACGAACGAAGCTGGTGGCTTATACTATATATAGCTCGAATCGAAAATCACCAGATGACAATTAAAAAGGGTATTCGCAAGTCTATCTCGTCTATGCTAATGCAACCGCCAATTCAACCTATAATACGGAAACAACACAGTGTCTGGAACACTTCTATCACAAGAGACTACACAAGCACGTACAGCGCACACATCTGTCTATAGTTAGCCATCTGCCACCGTTCGGCCGAGATGAGTCAGCTTACCATACTGAGTCCCAAGATCATGCTGCACCAGAACAAGACATTGTTCAGCAATGTACGACCCTTGACCCATTTGCTTCGCTGCAACATGACGATGGGCATCTGAAGCATCATAGCAACGAAGCCATAGCCTCTGAACTTTCTCGTGATGCAGCCCATGACTAGTTCGTGGGCCAGTGCGGAGATGAAAAAGGTGATTACTATAGCCAATGGCCTCGACATGTGGTTCTTGGACGCACTGTAAACGTGTCGACGAAGAAACTGATGCACCGGAATGTTCCACTCGGCACTGTTTGAATACGTTAGATGCTACTTTGAAAGAAACATGTAACAATCCCTACCTGAACTCGAGCCAGTCACAGCTATTCCACCAGTCAGCGTAGAATTGACGATCGGCGAAGCCTGTACAGTGTAAGCGCGGGTATATTATTGTAATTCTGAGAAAGACCTACGCGTGATTTCTGCAAATGCACCCAGGACGTACTCGAAGATGACTAGGAATACCAGGAGGAAGGTAATCATAAAGGGGAACAGCAGACGACCAATCGTCTCACCCATGATCAATGCAAAGTCGGTTGCGCTATTTGAGTTGTGGAGTCGCACAGCCGATACGTCCAGCACTGGAAGTATGAATTCTTCTGCGGTAATAACCATGAGAAAGATGCATCCGAACACAGCCAATGTCTTGTAGAAGACCTCAAGCCAACGAACATGAGTGTTGCGGGGGTACTCGATCTCATAGCAGAGCGTTGGGCAGAAGATGAAATCCACATAGTTGTATAAGGTGAGGTTGTTGGGGTACGAGACATTACCCAAAGGCGACGCAAGCTCCAAGGCAAGCTCCTCGCGCAAGTGGCCAAGGTATTCTGCATTTGGGTCTTTGGGTTCTGACTCGGTCTGAGACGGTGACTTTGGAATCTCGTGTAGATGAGTACGGGGAGTCGGGTATCGAACTGCTGCCACTTTGCTAGCTTGATCAGGTGTGTCGAGGTCGTTCAGGCGTCTTAGCGTTTCGCTGAGATGACCGTTATAGAATCTTAGAAGGTCAGTTTGAGTCAACATTTATAGTTTCGTGGATAGCGTACGCGTATGAGTGCATCTTCATGAAAATTACAAGGAGATGTAGGGTGAAGAAGACCTGGGCCGTCCAGCTCCAATCGCGGATGAACGGATATCTTCATAGTCGTTAGTCTATGGTACAGAATCGGAAAAGCGACGGCTTACGTAGTCCAGAAAGCAAGCCAGATGGCCTGGAAGACGCTCTGTATGGCCATACCATACGTGTTCCAGCGAAGCACTTTGTCTTCGAGGAACAGCTTTTGGAGAGGCAATGACAAGGCCGTACTGCACACCATGGCGCCATCAACCAGGCCAAGCTCAACCACCTTTTCCTTGAACAGCGCCCACTGCCTCATCTGGAACGGATATCCAGTCTCTGTCATGTTTCGGAGCATCGAGGTGATGACCATGATGGCAAGGCCAATCCAGAACAGGACGAAGAAGCCGCGGAAGTCATGGTGGTCGCTGTTTGGGTCAAAGTGCGAGACGCGATTTTGGTAGTGGATAGTAGGGAATATGCGCTGCTTGTGCTGAGCGCGTATCTGTCGGCGCGCAGACGAAGAGGCCTGGACGGAAGGCGGGGCATCGGGGGGTATAGGGGTCGATCTTCCACTGCGGAGTGTCAGTTATCTGCTGCCCCCCAAAAAGCAGACTCTTTATAGGCACCTCGAGAGACCAGAAGCGGCTTCCTTCAGAGTGCCATTTTTATTGAGGCCTTCGTCGCTAAGTTTAGGCTTCAGGAGGTCGATTCTCGTGGGTTTGCGCGGTCGCGGGGAATGAAAGTCGGCGTCCCCATTGTGGTTGTGCGTGTCAACAGAGGTAGATTCAGCCATTGTGGATTCAGCCATCATGAGCAAAGAGTATGCGCATGTCGAGAATGTAAGTAATGGTGCAAAGGGGGATTGAAACGTGGACAGGCCAGAGTATGATCAGCAACCCACACGGCGACTGGTTCTCGGTCCTTATGGGTAGTGGATAATATTGTAGCCAGGCCAGCCTTCCGAACACCCGCGCAGCATGACAAAAACAGGGATCGAGTAGAATGAGGATGGGATCACCACGTGGAGAAGTCTGTCTGGGGGCTGCTTGCGCGCACCCATTCTATCGCGGCGACGGTGCTCTAACATTCGTTAGCTGTCAGGGCCGGTTACATCACAGGTCAGACGCGCTTGCCACCACGGGCAGTGCAGCGGGAATCAAGGACTTTTGCCCAGCCAGCTAGGGCTATCATCATCCGCCCCGTAGTCCGTAGCACTGCGCATAGCCCAAAGGCCGTGATTTGATTCGGCATGCGTGGTGAATGGCCCAAGGCAGAATGCGATAACCGTATGTAGGCGTCTGCGTAGCTGGAACACGCTGGGTGCCTGACTCGCGCGGCGGGCATCCGTCGCCCCCAGCCATATTATGTATGGACGTGTGCAATGGCGGAGACGCCCTGGGCTTATTCAAGTGAGATTGGAGAGAATGGGTTGGATTGATAGCAAGTTGAAGCATCTAGCAAAAGCATCAGGGAGAGATGGTAGCAACCAGCAGCGTTCAAGTGGTTTGGGCTGCCAGCAGCGGTAGCGTGGGTGTTGCCCTCGTTGTCGGTGGGAGGTGCGTCTGCGTCCGACATCTGGAACAAATAACGGCCCGGCCAGGTGGAAGCCGTCCCCCCAAACGTTGTCGACAACCAAGCCCTCCAAAAGGAATACCTCGAGTTGCCCGTGCCCGATTGATCCTACCGAACACACAGCAGCCCTCCGTCCTTCACTCCCGCCTCTCAATCGAGCCTTTGAACGCTGCTTGGGTGGGGTCCAAGAGGCCACTGCAATGGCTTCCTGTACGCCAAGCATCGTACCGCCCGCAGCTATGGACATGTGCTAAGAATTACCAGTGAAGCAGTTTATTCGCAACGTGCGCGCTGCAAAGACGATTGCTGATGAGCGTGCCGTTGTCCAGAAAGAGAGTGCGGCGATCCGCGCCAGCTTCAGGGAGGAAAGCCACGATTCCAATGTGAGGAGGAACAATGTCGCAAAGCTCCTCTACCTCTTCACACTCGGCGAGAGGACCCATTTTGGCCAGATTGAATGTTTGAAGCTGCTGGCTTCTCCCCGCTTTGCGGACAAGCGGTTGGGCTACCTGGGCACCATGTTGCTCCTGGATGAGAACCAGGAGGTCTTGACCCTGGTCACCAACTCGCTCAAGAAGTACGTCCTCCTCCATCGAGCCTGAAGCCATATTGTGTGTACTAATCGAATGGCAGTGACTTGAACCATGCTAATCAGTACATTGTTGGCCTCGCTCTTTGCACACTCGGAAACATTGCATCGGTTGAAATGGCTCGAGACCTGTTCCCAGAAGTCGAAACGATAATATCGAGCGCGAACCCGTATATACGTCGAAAAGCCGCAATCTGCGCAATGAGGATATGTCGAAAAGTGCCCGATCTGCAAGAACATTTCTTGGAAAAGGCCAAATTGCTGCTACAAGACCGCAACCATGGAGTCCTCCTGTGTGGTGTCACTCTGGTGGAGAACCTGTGCCAAGCAGACGAGGATGAGGACGACGAGAATGGCGTACGGGACCTCTTTAGGCCGACCGTACCCAGCTTGGTCAAGATATTGAAGGGGCTATCATCTTCCGGCTACGCTCCCGAGCACGATGTAACGGGCATCACCGATCCCTTCTTGCAGTGCAAGCTACTACAGCTTTTGCGTGTCCTGGCCCGCGGCGATGCTCAGGTCAGCGAACAAATAAACGATATCCTGGCTCAGGTCGCAACCAACACCGACTCTTCCAAGAACGTTGGTAATTCGATTCTCTACGAAGCTGTCCTTACTATCCTCGATATTGAGGCGGATTCCGGACTTCGTGTGCTTGGTGTAAACATTCTGGGAAAGTTCTTGTCTAACAGGGATAACAACATCAGATATGTTGCTCTCAATACCTTGATCAAGGTGGTCGCAGTTGAACCCAACGCTGTACAGCGACACAGGAACACCATCCTTGACTGTCTCCGAGATCCAGATATCAGTATTCGGAGGAGAGCACTTGATCTCAGCTTTACTTTGATCAACGAGAGCAATGTACGGGTACTGATACGGGAGCTGTTGGCTTTCCTAGAAGTTGCAGACAACGAGTTCAAGCCGGTCATGACCTCGCAGATTGGTATCGCTGCGGATCGCTTTGCGCCAAATAAGAGGTGGCATGTTGACACGATGCTACGCGTCTTGAAACTGGTCAGTGACTGAAGCCTTGGAGGAGTTTTTTTCTTTCACTAATATGGGATACAGGCTGGTAACTATGTCAAAGAGCAGATTCTGTCGTCTTTTGTCCGACTAATCGCTACCACACCCGATCTCCAGACCTACTCAGTACAAAAGCTCTACTCTGCGCTCAAGGAAGACATCACACAAGAGGGCCTTACCTTGGCTGGCTCTTGGGTGATTGGAGAATACGGCGATGCCCTATTACGAGGTGGCCAGTACGAAGAAGAAGAACTTGTCAAAGAAGTGAAAGAAAGCGATGTCGTTGATCTTTTTGAGACTATTCTGAACAGCAGCTACGCCGGTTTGATTGTCCAGCAGTACATCATCACTGCATCGATGAAGCTAACCACACGACTGAGCGATCCCGCACAAATCGAACGTTTGCGACGATTACTACAACGATACGCAGCCAACCTAGATGTAGAGATTCAGCAACGTGCAGCCGAGTACGGCAACCTCTTTGGTCACGATCAGATCAGGAGAGGTGTTTTGGAAAAGATGCCTCCGCCTGAGATCCGAGAAGAGTCGCGTGTGCTGGGAGAGGCTACCAAGAAGCGTCACTCGAAGATTGCGAAGAAGAAGCCTGCGCAGGCAGCAACTGAGGATCTACTACTCGATCTCATGGGCGACGCTGGCCCATCTGCTGACGTGAACGGTCCTGCCAACGGGACACAACATAGCCAAGATCTGCTCGCAGACATAATGGGCGGGGCTTCATCACCCCCACAAACGTCTTCCCCGGCGCCACAATCGAATGTCGCTAACATTATGGATCTGTTCAACTCCGGCCCGAGTAGTTCTCCAGCCCCTGCGCAATCCCGGGCGCCCCCACAAGCCGCATCGTCTGACCTACTTGGCGGTCTTGGTGGTATGTCTTCGCCGCCTCCGCAAAACCCGACACCTCCTGTAGCATCTGGTCCGCCCGCACACCCAGCATACAACAAGAATGACCTCCAGATCATGTTCCAGCTCAAGCGTGACGCGAATGCAGTGCAAGTTCTTGCACGATTCCGCAACACTGGGAGCCTCACGCAACTGTCGGGTGTCAATCTACAGGCTGCTGTACCCAAGAGCCAGAAGCTACAGCTGCAACCTATCAGCACAAGCGAATTGGATGGTGGCCAGGATGCGACCCAGCAAATGAGGGTCACAGCCGTTAATGGCGTAAGTCACGCACATATGATCATGCTATGAATACACACTAACGCTCAGCAGCCGCCTCCAGCAAGGCTAAAACTTCGATTGAAGATCAGCTACTCTACAAGCGGAGGAGGTCCCGTCACAGAGCAGGTAGACTGGGTCGAGCCAGTCTGATCGAAAGACATCCATACAACCGATTCTGGTAGTTAGTGTCTTCACATGTAGCGAGCAAACATAGAGCAAATGAACATACCCCCAGGCAAACATGCCACAACTGCATTCCGTGTTCCCCGTCACAATCCCACCGTCACAAAGAATGATCCAAATGTACTGGGAATAAGAATGCAGGAGCGGGTGCCACAAGGTCACCGGGTGCACGGACGCACTTGTCAATAGATCCGGCCGACCATCCGACCCCCGCTAAACATCCAGGCACAACGCTTGTTTGAATGGGCTTGCACATCCCGCATTTCCCCCTCCCATGTACCATGTACTAGTCGCCGAAAGTAACGTATGATGTCGATACACGGGATCTCTCTCTTTTTTTTCTTGCAAACTCCGCATGCATCTGTTTCTACTTGCAGTATGAACTCCCGATCTACTGCTCTCTCTCTCTACATACGCTCTCTCCTTACTTCCTTCTCTCTAGAAAAAAAATTACTTTATTACGTAGCAAATCTGACCTCGATGTAAGACGACACCGCCCTCGCTTAAGTAAGCGGCAGCGGGGGTGTGTGAATTCGGTAGCTCTCAACAAGATCAACCACCCAGGTCTTAAGTAATAATGATGATCCTTACGCAAGGCGGGTTGCGCTGGCTGATGCACCGGTGCATGACGCGCCCGCTGTATGTACCATCTGCACCTCGTTTTACACCAATATGTAACCGAGCATGGTTGGGTCCCCTGGTCATGCGCTGTTAGCACGAGATCGAATCCCCCACTCCCATTCTGCAATGGTGAAATGCACTTACATACTAACATGTTTGGTATGCAGCCCTTTTTTTGCCTGTCCGCAAAGTTCACTGTTACCTTCCTATCTAAGGTAGACATGGGGGCCCTGGGGTTTTGCCAAATATTGATAACCCCAACATTTTCTTTTCGGGGGGGCGTCTGGGGTGTGTCATGGTGTTTGTTTATCTGTCAGCTGATATATATGGGAATGCTGGGTTCTAGGCGATATGATGATCTGCAAGGAAATAACGGGTTGGCGGGCGGTGGAAAATACATATGAAGACTTGTTTGGTCCTCCTACTTATGAGTAGTTTAATCAGGTTTCTTTGCTTTTCGCCATTTTGACTGCCTGACCTCGGATCTAACTTTTATTTTATTTTTCTCTGAACGCGGTGTGGGAAATAGTATTTTACTAGAGAGAGGGACCTCATTGTTTTATTCAAATCCTCGGGTTACTACTCGGACAGGTTGATCTTGTGGTGCTTGACGACGACACATTGCGATGATCCGACTCGGGGTTTTCGCTCTCACGGCTGCTGTAGCATCGTCTCTGCCATCGAATGCACCGGTAGATCTACCGGCGAGGCAGTATAAGGCGCCTCCCGAACTATCGTCGCCAGAAGAAAGAGCACAGGCTGTAGTGAACACATTCAGAGTGAGCTGGGATGGGTACTATACATATGCGTTTCCGAAGGATGAGTTGAAGCCCGTGACGAACAATGGTAGTAACTCCCGGTGAGTAGCAAATATGCATCGATTGAGATCTTGAAGAGCGCTTCAGCAGAGAAAAAAAGAAACACGGCTAACACATCTTCAGAAACGGGTGGGGAGCCTCCGCCGTAGACGCCCTCAGCACAGCACTCATTATGGGCGAGAAAGAAACAGTAAACCAGATTCTAGACCACATTCCAACCATCAACTGGGCTGTTACAGACTCCTCAGTCTCATTGTTCGAAACCACAATCCGGTATCTAGGCGGCATGCTCTCAGGATACGATCTCCTACGTGGACCTCTGGCGCATCTCGCAGACAACCCAGCGAACGTCGAAGCTCTCTTGACTCAATCAATCAACCTAGCAAACAACCTTTCCTACGCATTCGAGACACCTTCGGGCGTACCATGGAACAATCTCGACCTCAGCGCCCGCGGCAACGACGGTAACCCCAACGGCCTCGCAACAATCGGAACCCTCATCCTCGAATGGACACGTCTAGCCGACCTATCCGGAAACCAAACCTACGCAGACATCGTCTCAAAAGCAGAGTCGTACCTGCTCTCCCCTTCCCCAGCATCTGGTGAGCCATTCCCGGGTCTCGTCGGATCCACCATCAGCGTGCAAACGGGCGAATTCACCAACGGTGACGGCGGGTGGGTCAGCGGATCAGATTCCTTTTACGAATACCTCATCAAGATGTACATATACGACCCCAAGTTCTCGCAGCTCAAGGACCGCTGGGTCACCGCTGTAGACAGCAGCATCAAGTATCTAGTCGCACACCCTTCACCACGGCCCGACATTACTTTTCTCGCTGCCTACAACGGCGCACAGCTCAAATTCGACAACCAGCACCTGGGCTGTTTTGATGGTGGAAATTTCATACTAGGGGGCCAGGTACTGGGACGACAGGATTACATTGATTTTGGACTCGAGCTCGTGAATGGGTGCCATGAGACGTATATTAACACTGCGACGCGGATTGGGCCCGAGGTCTTTTCTTGGAATACCACGAACATACCGGCGAACCAAACGGAGCTGTTCGAATCGGCGGGGTTCTGGATTAAGGATGCGAATTACGTGTTAAGGCCTGAGGTCATCGAGTCGTACTACTATGCCTTCCGTGCTACGTCGGATCCAAAGTACCAGGAGTGGGCGTGGGATGCATTTGTTGCGATTAATCAGACGACGAGGGTGGGCAGCGGGTACAGCTCGATTAATAATGTTAATGTGGTTGGGGGAGGCGGGTTCAGCGATTTCCAGGAGAGCTTCTGGTTTGCGGAGGTGCTCAAGTATTCGTATCTGATTCATGCGGAGGAGGCCGAGTGGCAGGTTTCCAAGGATGGGAAGAATGCGTGGGTTTACAATACTGAGGCGCATCCAGTCAAGGTTCACGGGGGAAGCAAGTGAGAGGGAGGATCCCTTCGCAGAGATTATGATTGTGAAGGCTGTTGCTGTCTAGACCATTCATATATCCATTGGTGCGATGCATGCTTCAGGGTAATGGTATTGACGACATTTTCGCCGGGTATAATGCGATCGGTCATGTTGTAATAAAAGTGACATGTTACTCGAAGAAACCACCATCACTTTCCTCTGCTTCTTCCTGAGCTTGAACACCCAAAGCTCTCCTCTCGCGGCGGTTCTTTGCTGCAGCAAGTTTCTCTGCTATCTTCTTTTCCTTGCTCTTGATAGCGTGATCCGGCTTCTTGTTCTTCTTTTCCTTTACAGGCGCTGGTGCTGGCAGATCCTCCTTTCTATTCCTCAGTGCATCCAGTGTGCCTTTTTCCATGGCTTCCTCAACAGTCTTCCACATGGCTACATCTCCCTTGGGCCCGTCAACTTCGCGATTCGGTTTGTCGCCAGAATCACCCTCCCCGCTCTCATCCGAATCCGCTTTTTCCTTTTTTGATTTTGGGTATAGAGAGGCATATGGCTTCATCAACGGATAGTATATGGCGTAGTTGACATCGACTTCGGCATTGTGAACTTTTTGCGCAAGTTCCTGCTTCTTTTCCTCGTCCTCTTCGCCTTGTAGCTCCTTCTTCAGCTTCTTGAGTATGCGCGTGCCCTTTTGACGATCTGCGCGCGTTAGCAATACAATCTTTGTAGATGCGTTTTGACCAAGGAATATCATACCAAAAAATCGTACCTGGTGGTACTTTCCGATCATTTTCTTCCTATACTCGGCTTCCCTACTACTCTCCATCTTCTCTCTCAGCTCATGCTCACACGCCTCCAGCTCCCTCTCCCTCTCTATCCGATTGCTTGCCGACATCTTGTGGTCGCCCACATTGTCGACATGCGCCAATAGACGCCTCAAGTCCCGTATCCTGCTCTTCAGCGCATGGGTGCTGGTGCTCTTGTCGATGTCACTGGACACCTGTGGTCGCTTCTTCGGTTTTTGGTGACCTGACCCTGGCTTGAAAGCGCGATGTCTTTTGAACGGCTTGGGCGCGGAATTTGAGGCTTCGGAAGCTTCGGCGTATTTGCGCTTTTGCGACATTGTGGCAGACTGAGGATGAATGGTGTTGGCCAGGAAAGTTTTAGGATTGAGCAAAGGGAAGTTTTAGTGGGGCGGCAGAATTAAGGTTATCTGACCGCCCGGCCTGCGCCAAGGTGGGTCACGCGTCGGGCGTTCACCCATGGTCGTCCATGTTGCAAGCAACTGATACAAGAACACAATGTCTATGGATTCACTCATTCGTTGCTGCTTCAAATCGCTCGTTAATGGCTAATGACACTTTCATAACCTCAGAAAATCGCCAATTTGAACTGTAGCACAGCCACGGTTACTGACTGGTGAAATGGAGGCGGCAATCAGGTGGTCACCACACTCGACGCAGGCCGATCCTCGGTTTATAATCATCGACATTGCAAGCAATCGACTACGCTTGTGTCAGATTGATGAGTTCAATAAGAGCAAGGTCAATTACAAACAAATATGTATCCGCGACAAGCTGCCAAACTACACGGCCTTTGACTGGTCGAAGAAAGACCCCAATGTGGTTGCGATAGGATCAACTTCTGGAGAGGCTACCCTTGTTGCACTTGACCCAGAAAAGCCTGACAGCGACTACATACACTCTTTCTCGATACGACACCAAAGGAAATGCAACGCAATTGCCTTTAGCTCGAAGAACCTCTTGGCTGCTGGTCTGGACAGGGTGCGCAATGATGTCTGCCTCAACATCTACGATATGAATGATTCACGAGTCACGGCCAAGGACGAGCCGTACAAGAAACTGGCAAGCTCGGAGGCCGTTTCGAGTATCAAGTTCTTTGATAGGCAACCGGAAATGCTCGTGGCTGGTGTGTCAAGGCAATATGTGCGCATCTATGATTTGAGAGGTGTGTATGCATAGCGATAGCGAATTTCAGTCTTGCTCATACCATACAGACTCTAGTACAACAGGCATTGCACAGTTCCAGACACGTCAAGTACATAACATTGCCATAGATCCCATGGACGAGAACTACTTTTTGTCAGCGGGATCAGCAGGTGATCCAACTGTGACAGTATGGGATGCACGCTTCGTCAAACAGCGAGCAACTTCTGGCGACAACACGAGCAGCGGTGCCGTCTTAGACTTCAAGCCTATAGTGGACAATTCCCAATCCGCATCAATATGGAGTCTCCGATATTCTGGAACCAAGAGGGCAACGTTCGGTGTGCTGGCCAACACTGGCGAATTCAAAGTCATTGAACTTGCTCAGCACTCCCACCAGCCCACAGAAACTGCAGATACTCCGTTTGCACGTGCATGGGCGTCTCCGTACTATACCAAAGCAATGCACCACTTACGGTACCCAGCGCATGGCAAGGAGTATCGGCAAAGTAACAAACAACGTATAGTAGCGTACGACTTTATGAGCGTTGGCAGCCCACTTGAAGGACAATGTGCATTGGGTCTTCATTCCAACCGCGAGGTCGAAGTGCTCAAAGTACCACTGTCGCCTCCACGACTCAACGTCAGTGCTTTCGAGGAGATTTACAAAGACCGCACTTGCATTGCCAAGGCGACTCCACCAAACGGCACAGTGGCCGAAGACATGATTGCGTTGCAGAAACGAGCACTGCGCGAAAAGCAGAGAAGTGATGCTGGAAGCGAAGCAGATCTGTCAGCGAGCATAGACAGTTCACAGATAAGTGCTAGCCAACCGGAGCTCCCTCGACTTGAAGAGGGACTCGACGTCAAAATTCCACTTTCAGATTTCCTCGCTATACTCCAAGTACCCAAAAGACGAGTGCAGGAGGGTTACTCGCTCAACTGTGCTAAGAATAAAGCGATCGTCGCCAACAACCCGCTACTGGTCGATGCATGGACATTAGTAGAAAGAATGGACGCCCACGCTTCAGGAGATGGCATGGTAGGCAACGGACTCGACCTGAAATACCTCGGTGTAAGCTCGATATGGGCCAATGAACTGACAATGTACGACGAACGACTGATCGACCCGGACGCAAAAACAAGCCAAGAAATGTTCCACGGTGCGGTGAAGGAAATCGTCGAAGCAATGGAACTACCACCATTCCAAGGCGTGTCCACCGAATACCCGGAGAACCGCCAACTCTGCCTCAGTCTCTGCGGTTGGTCACTGGAAGAATCCGGCGTCCAAAAGACATGCGACGATCTCGTTTCCACCGGCGAAATCTACAAAGCCATTGTCCTCGCCGTCTTCCAAGGCTACAAAGACATTGCCCTGGCACTCCTCCGCAGCACACTGACAGCAAAGAAACTCCCAAAAGACGACATCAGCCTCGCAGCCGTCATAGCCTGCGCCTCACCATCCTCGGGCGTCTCCGCCGACCAACGCGAAGCCTGTGCCTGGATGGCCGACATGACACCAAACCCATACCTCAAATCCCTCCTAACCTACTTCATAACCGGTGACTGGACCAGCGTAGTCCACATGCCGCAAATCTCCCTCCACGACCGCGTCGCCGTAGCCCTAAAATACCTCCCAGACTCCTCCCTCTCCACCTTCCTCACTTCTACCACAAATATTGCCATCCGCACCGGCGACATATCCGGACTCCTGCTAACCGGCCTGACCGCGCGCTCTCTCGACCTCCTCACAGTCCACATATCCCAGCAACCCAGCTCAGGCCTGCAAAACGCAGTTTTACTCCTCAGCCGCGCTTGCCCTCTGTACATCCAAGACCCCCGCTGGACCCTCTGGAAAGACACATACCTCGAGCACCTCCAAACCTACCGCACCTTCCTCGAACGTACCCGCTACATAAAAGAACACAACCAACTCTCCGTCACACGCGAGGGCCGCAGCGTAAACAAACCGCAACAACCCAGCCTCACAATCCGCTGTCTAAACTGCCAACAAAACCTCGCCCTGAGGAAAGATGCAAAAACCGCAAAAGGACGCTTACTTCCTACCTTTACTTCCACCACCACCACCACCACCGCCGCCCCTGGTGCAGCCGCACCTGCGGGACCGGGAGTAGGACATCACCCCCACCATCACCACCACCGCACCTCCTTCGCCGCCAAACCCTCGTCCTCACAGCCCCCCGCCAAACCCGCCAAACCCTCCTTCTCATCAACACCCGGTCTCCACTGCCCAAACTGCTCGGCTCAAATGCCCCGCTGTGCCCTCTGCATGCTGTGGCTCGGCACCCCGGATCCAGCCCGCCAGGGCGGGTACGAGACACTAAAAGGAGAGGATCGAGAGGCTCGCCTCATGGTTTTCTGCATGAGTTGTACGCATGGCTTTCATGGGCATCATGCGAGGGATTGGTTTGCAAGGCATGCCATGTGTCCCGTGCCGGATTGTGGGTGTATGTGTGGGTTGATGAGGTGAGGGGGGGGGGGGGTTGGGAGGGTTTGTGGGAGAGAGAGAGAGAAGGGGGAGATGGGGATGGAAGAAGGGATACGTATGTGTGTGTATTGAGTGATGTAAGTTAGAGGAATGAATAAGAAAGTTTGGTGTATCTTTGTACATGTTCAAGGGAAAAAAAGAGAAAAAAAGTCTCGGAATCATTCATTGGTTCATTCATACAAGATACCTTTACTTTGTTCTCTTTAGTACAGAAAATTGTTTGCTTTGTTGCTAGCGCTTTCTGGTATTGCTTCCTCCTCCTCCTCCTCCTCCTCCTCAACTCTTTTTATTCTTACTCTTACTCTCTCTTTCTTTCTCTCTCTCTCTCTCTCTCTCTCTCTCTTCACAATAATTAAGAAACACAAAACTTCAAACATAGAGGGTATAATCATGCCCCGCATCAGCGCGGGAAAGGGAAACCCCCAATTCCAGGGCCAAATCATTTCCGTTGTTTTTCCACGTCTTTTTGTTCGTGAAAATAGACCAGACCAGAACCAGAACCAGACCAAACCATGTTTCCCATGTACGCGCTAACAATGCCACAAAAGACCGCAAATAACACAGCCGCAAAACAACAACAACTCCTGATATATGCTAATGAAGGGAGAGGGGGAAGAAAGATCATGAGACAATGATGGGAGAGCTCGACTGTTTCAGAACTAGTCCTGACCCGCCATTTCGCTGTCGTTGCCAAACTCGTCTTCCTCGTCAATGGCCATGATGTTCGCCTGTGCTGTCATGGTCATCATGTTGTCGCCTTCGTCGTCTTCATGGTACATGGTACCGTTGTCATTGCCAAAGCCATCGGTCTCACGATCCACATCTTCTCCGCCGTTGGTGTTCATAAAGACACGGAGACGCTGAACCCCGATACCGCTGAAGACGCAAAAAACTTCGCGCTGGTGGTCGTTAAACTCCGCAGGTGCTTCTCGGCAAAAGGCGAGAAGGTCTTCGCGTAGAAAAGCTTGGATGCCGGTAAGAGAAAGATGGGTCAGGCGGGGGCAGTTGTTTAAGAGAGCGTGGATGCCCTAGCATTGTTAGTAAGAAGTACTATAATGAAATGAGGGGGGGAGAAAAAACTTACAGCCAGTGACAGGTTGATGCAGTAACTCAGATGCACTCTCTCGAGCACACTGGGGGCAATAGGACCAGAAGTGCCGATTTGCTTTGGCTTGGCAAGGGCGAATATGCTGCGGTCTGTGATGGCGGCACACTTGACCAGGCCAATGCGCTTGAGCTTGGGTAAGCTTGCAAGCTGGGTGACGGAAGCGTCTGTCAGGGCCGTGCAGCAGGCCAGGTCAATGTAGCGGATGCGGTTACAAAGCTTGACTAATTGCGCAACACCAACATCTGTAATGCGCGAGCAGTGGCCAAGGTGGATGTAGTGCAGGTTCTTGCCGAGGCGTGTAATTGCCATGACGGCTCGGTCCGTAATGTTGCGGCACTTGGCGAGGACCAGGTTGCGGAGTCTTGGGGCGGCTTGGATGATCTTTTGAACTCCGGCGTCTTGAAGTTCCCCGCAGTCGGTGAGATCAAGAATGCGTAAGCAATCATAGGTTGCTTCTGCCGGAAGGCGCAGGAAGGCCTGGTCGGTGATTTTGGCGCAGTGAGCCAGGCGCAGTTCGCGGAGATTAGGGCCTTCGGTAATGAGGGTCGTGATGGATGCGT